CGACCTTTTTCAAAACTAGTCAATGCTCCCACAGCGCCATCTAATGGTACTTTTTTTGCAGTCCGACTGATCGCTCTACAACATCAAACACGTCTACTCTGGTCGTGTGAACCACGCAACAGACTTCACTGATTGATGCCTCACTGACTCCTCCGTGCCTCTGTTGCTGCGCACCTGGGCCCAGAATGGGATGCCAGGGAACCTCGTGCACCATTCGTGTAGGCATAGCACAGTGAAAGTTGTGGGGAAAGGGTCACATCCTTCTCAGAGATTCATCGGTGGAATCGGACGGTGGCACTTCGATTTCTCATGTTTTCGCGATTTTGCGCGGTGTTGGGCTCGCGGCTTAGAAGGATCCCACCCCTGCCTCCAGATTGTTGGGACCGGGTTCGGCCGGTCTCGGCTGGCCCTCGTCACAAGACCCATTCTTTTTTGTGAGGAAATGTACTCTTGCAGGACAGACAGAAGGATTTACACCTATCGAGGTTAGGAATTAAGAGGACTAAGAGAAGAGGAAGAGAGTAATGTACAGCGGTCTTTGGCTTATATTGCCAGCCGTAGAACAATCCTGAGTCAAGCAGCGAAGAGGGTGCAACGTAGCGGGTGCATAACAAGTTTGAAAAAAATTCATACACTGAGTATTTGAAATTTGCACTAAGAACAGAATATCGCTATTGTGTTTAACTCTTCTAACGGTCCCACAGTTTTTCAAAGGTTAATAAATACTGGAGAGAGGTAGAAAGAGAGAAAGAGAAAGAGAGAGACAAGGGCTAGAATGAGAGGCAAAAAAAGTTGAAGATTTTGTCACATTTCACATCATATGCTGGGGGAAGAAGATAACAATATATAGAGGTTGGATGAATGCGAAACGTTATTTCAAGTCCTGAGGTGCATGACACAACGCGCAGGGGCCGCTCCGAGTGTCGGGTTTTTCACCAGTTTCCCGCGTCCCTCGGCCTTGCGTCACTTTCATGCGCTTGGATCTGATCTTCAAGCTGCAAAGGTTGTCACTGCGACAGAGCGTGTTATTGTTTTTAACAGTTCTATTTATACCATATATAACGTTTATAACGCATATATATTCGGCTACCTCGATCTACGTCGCTACATTTACTGCCCGATCTCTTCTTTCTTGTTATTCGTCCTAAAACAAAAAGCACAAGAAACCTTTCTAGAAAAAAGATATTTTGTGAACACTTCCTTCGAAGGCTTTGACCAACAATCTCCATGCTGCTTCAACTTTCCGGTAGACGAATCGTAACTTGTTTGTTCCAATGCCACTTTCAGGTGAGCGAAACTCTGAGTCAGACATGCGTAGAGTCAAAAATATAAGACCGGGAAGTGAGCACTGTGATTCTATCATGGCCAGCGTAAATATGCATGGTACTCCATCATGTGGCTAAGGCATGCTAGCTGTACGGGACCTTCGCATGTATTCGCGAGAGGCCATATCTTGCGAGAACAAGGTATAGTTCGAAAACCATTGCCACAATATCTCCTTCCCTTATTTTTAGCCTTTTTTTCTTTATTGCCGAGCTGTACGTTTGAGGAACATCAAACGCGTTTGCACCAACATGCAACGAGGAAGATGAATAGATGTCAAAAGAAAGTCTTCGGTACCTCTTTGCCCCCTTTTTTTTAGTGGAGGGATCGATGAGGTTGAAAACTTGGCTTCGGAAACATCCTGCAAGGTTTTTGATCGTACATTTGCGATGCTCCGCGGAAAGCTTTTTATCTTCACCCTTCTTCAGGTTTCATTCGCTCTTTTTTTTCGTTAGCAGCAATATTTTCCTTCAATGTATAACTAATTCCACCCTGTCTAGTTTCTGCACTTTTTTGATGGTAGCAAGGCAATCTACACCAGGGTTGCTGGCCGTGCATGCCTATTTTGCGCCCCACTGTTTACTTTTTCACTCCGTGCGGTGACGAAAATTTCAGGTTCGCTCCATGACTACTTTTTGGCTACTTTTGAACTTTTGTTTCAGGGCATTAAATGGCGATTTTTCGTTACTTACGCACAAAATACGCCATTTCCAAGCTTTTTTGTTGCGTTAGCCAGTGCACGTGTGTTGGCCCTCAACTAGCGACTTGGTGCACACAGAGGCAACTCAACGCGATGCTTGACGAGCCTGCATAACACGAAGTGGCGAAAACACTGCGCGTGTAGTCATGTGAACTTGGTAACAGAAATTCACTACAAAATGACTCCAGGACTGTTCGTTATCAAACACATTTCCTTGTCTGGCAAATAAATTCTCTGGAAACCGGCTAGGTGGCGGGAGTTCTTGGCTCTTCCGCCATCTTTCCACACAAGTATTGCAAACGAGTTCCCGAAGAACTCGTTTGCAATACTTGTGTCCATGCGTTTCAAGTTGTCGATGAATTCACTCTCGCGCTGTCCATTGCTAGCTTCCTGGTTGGCTCGATTGGCATAGCAACCGCCCCCGGAAAGGCATTGGTTTCGCGTTCGAACCACGGACCAGGACGAATTTTTCGGCAACTAAGGAGTTTCTTTTTGAGGAATCCGTATGGCTCTCCTTATGACTTCGTGCTACAAATGGTTGGTTGTCTTGTTTCCCATTCTTACTTCAATGTATAAAGCTGTAATTGTATTATGGAAATGCTAGTGCTCAAATTCCGGTTATGGCGCCAAGCAAATTATGGTTCAATGTTACATGTTCCCACTGACAGGTTGACTGGAAAATCGGCAACATAGCACGCATTAATCTAAAAATTGCGAGAGCACTATCTATTCTACATGCAAGTGCACTGAATTATTAGTTTTTTACTTGAGTTACCTGTAGCCTGAAGATCACGTGAGATGTAGTAATTAATCATGCTCTTATTTTTATGGTCTTAGTTACATATAACATTTTCTTAAATATTTTTCAATAAGAACAAAATTGTACATATAGTGCATCTTCTGTTTCATCTGGCTACAAGCTCTGCGTCAAAACTAATAGGAATTACTCTTTTAGCTACCTTTTGCTTGAGTTCGCATTCCCTTCAAATCGACCCAACGGTGACCTTGCATGCTCTTCACCCGCGATGTCGATGTCAAACTAATGCGAACATCTAGAGCGAAAAGACCATTACCAGCATATAAGCCTCGTATATTGATGAGAACAATATGAGGAAGCCCAACCAATGCCCATTTTATTTTTTTGCTTGCAGTCTCAGTGTCACCAAGATAGAACAACACACCAGGTCAAACTCAGAGGCCAGAGCGTTATCAATGTAGAGCTCGCACTTCGCAGACTACAAAATTTCGATAATTGCTGCTTGTTTTTCCGCGGTGTATTGTAGTAGTGTCATGGTAGCTTCTTGATCGTAGTTGAGTACCAAGTACTCAAAATCGTTAAACATTTTTTCTAAACACACATGATGCCACGCTGATATCAAATTTATGAAGTATGAGGGCATTAATACACTGAGAGGAAGAGAGAGAAAAAGATAAAGAAATACGAAGGTGAAATATAAAAATCCGCCCCCCCCCAAAAAAAAATATATATAGTATTCGCTTATTTTACGACAAAGATCCGGATCTGAAAATTCGGCAAATCCCACGTACCTGAGAATCGACGCTATAAAAAGCATGCGTAGTTGAAAATGGCCGTGTTGCAATTTTCGTTATTGAGCCACACGTCACGAAATGACGATAAATATGTGTACAAATGTTGCTCGCACAGACATATGTTGAAGAGTTGCAGATGCTTATATAACCAGTTGTTTGCACTTGCGCAACGATGTCAACTGAAGCATGCGTATTAGCTACACCAAAAGCTGATATGAAGCGCTGATGCTAGCGAAGATGCTGGCCCTGGACACTGCTACATAAATCAACTTCAGTGCATGGCACCTAACTGCAATTGACGTTAACCCGACGTGACGGCTGTATCAAAGGAGTACATATGTAATGTTTAAAAAATTTGGTAGGCAGCACTGCAACCACTACTGACGTTTCACGAAGATTACAATCTATTTAAAAAGTAGTTCCGAGACCTGGCTTAGCTCTGTGGTACAGTGCCCGATCACTATGCACGATGCTTGGGTTTGATTCCTGCTGGTACCTTGAAATTCAATATTTGCATTAGACGAGGGTGAACGCTACCTATGCCAGGTTCTTCTTAACACAGACATTTATTCTATGTCTTTGTTGGGTTGACGCTGCCGATGTCGTGTATTGCTTAACGTTCACACGTTACAGTTGCCCATGTGTGTTCTCGTCGTTCCTGGGTAGATGCTAAATGTCAATCAATTGTGGCACATACCCGCATACTAGTGGCACATTCCCGCCCGTGAGTATGTGCCACTGTCTGGCGGGAAGCGCTTGACGACGTACGCGGCGGGATTGTGACATTATCCATGTTTTGACCAGCGCTTCATATTCGTGAAACCATCCTACCCTCCCATGCTAATTTTGGTTCACGTCAAGTTAAGGCGGTGACCACGGGAGCACCCAAACGTAAGCGTATGGATGGATGCGCTCAAAGTCGTCGCCGAAGCTCGCTGAGAAATGCTTCGCATTTAAAACTAGAAACTTCGTGTTTTTCAACTGACCGTATTGTAAAAGTACATTGACTTGCAAAATTTGATCCTACAAGACCACCATAGTGGTCCAGTAGTAATAACCAAGCTCGACTGCTAACCCGAAGGTTGCGGAACCGAATCCCAGCCGGGGTGGCCACATTTCGGCGAAAGGCTATGGGCCCGTGCATATTATGTCTGCGATCATTGCAAACCTAAGAAGAGCTTACGGCATAAACGTTTTGGGTACATTTATTGCAATTTAAGTACTACTTGTACTCGATGTATTTGTATTCACTTCCGTGTACTGTGCAATAAAGAACACAGTGCGCTTTAAAGAACACGGGATTGTCTAAAGCCCTCAACCACGGCGTCTCTCATAAGTATATCGGAGTTTTGGGGCCTAAAACCTCAGATAATACTATGCGCATACACTGTTCACACTATAACGATGTCTCTGTATATCATTGCAGTGGCCGTTCCTGGTGGAACCGGCGTACAAAGATGGAACGGTGCCTGCTGGTCAGCGTTGGGTTCCTCACCGCCATCGCCATCATACTCATCGCGACCACAACGCTGGCCATGGCCAGGCCCAAAGGTGCGAATACATAATTTAAAAAAAATGTTGCATACAAAGAGATGTTGATGCCATTTTGGGCCACCGGCTACTTCTCTTGCATAATAGTTATTCTTGCAAAGTGCAAAACAAGCACGAAACTACACAAAACGCAAATATTCGCGAAATGTGAACGTCTGCGTCGTGGAAACTTTTTTTGCATCGACGAACTGGGACTAAGTGCGCGAGTGTTGATATATGTGTGACACATTCACATTCTTGTTCCTCGTGGATGGTTATTTTCTTAATAGCGACGGCTCACTGCTCTTCCGTAGTCGAGTACATAATACTCGAAATCTTTACACGTTTCACCAAGGGCTGTATCAACTATGTTAACGCTATCATGCATACTGAACTTGTACTGATTATTGTATATACACATGCGGCATAGTTGTCCTTTCTCTACGCCTCCATACAAAAATCGTGTTTTCTGCATTCAATACGTTCAATGAAACATGGCTTCTAAGGTTACCACGCTTGCCGCAATGGTATCGGAGTTCTTATTGATCTACAAGAATTCGTTACCCCTTGATGCAAGTTTATGAAACGAAATAAACGTTGACATGCGCATCAAGTAATGCGCAGCCACGACGAAAATGACTGCGGGGGCCCTTAGGAGAAGCGTGGCTGTTTGAGGAAAATTCTCTCTGGTACTGGGAACACCGAAATGATGTTTCTCAGGGAAAATCGTCGCGCCAAGCCACCAATTCAGTTACAGTAAAAGGCGAGCGGCTGTTAGCGAGAAGGAAATGTTATCGATGACTCGGAGCTCTCTAACATCTAATAAACGAATGGTTTCCGTGTATGAATGAACTCGCCAGGTGAAGCTGACGAGAAAGTAAAAGTTGGCGTCTTCATCTTGCTACAAGTTAATCCTGCGTGCTTTGAGGTGTAGTTACCAATGCCATCTCTCTATCAGTACGCGTACTGGCCGTTTCGGCCGCGTTTGGCGTCTTAAAAGCAGTGCAAGGTTTGTGTAAAGAGAACTAGTGGACGCTCAAGAGTGCGCAGAATCGTAAAGTGAAGGCATCCGTTTAGAAAAAAAGTTGTTAACGATTTAGAATACTCGGTACTCCAGATACTCTACTATGGGAGAGCAAAAAGCCGTCCCTTTTCACGATTTAGAGTACTGCATACGATAAGTTCACGCAAGCGAAGAGTTACTGCGAACAAAAGATCTATAGATATGTTAGAGGAAATAATAATAGCGCAGCGAACGTGCTTCTTGTCGACCGCCACAGTTGACGGGTTTGGCCACTTTGTCGTGAAAGAGTCCTCTATCTAGACGGTTTAGTACGAATAATTTGGCGAATGACACACATGGCCACATTAATGCTCAATGTACGACAGTTATGTCTGATCTGTAGAGAAATGTTGCACCGTTGCTAAACGCATACGCCTTTCTCTACTGCTCAATAGCAGCTTGACTTCATCTTGCGACTCGATATCTTTTTGTTCTCAAAGCTATAGTGATCATGCGTTATTATGCCTCATGTTGCTTCTATGTATCCACTCCTGCATGGGCCCGATTAGAGCCTGCAGTATGTACAAATAAATAAATAAAATGATGCGTTAAAGGTTGCTTTCTCTCCATATGAGAGACTCAATTAGCGGTATTTTTTTTGCAAACGATCCAGCCAATCACTTCATTGGACCGAATTTCGAGGATCGGTGTAATGTAAAGTGTACGTGAAGTGGTCTACGTCGGGACTCGTTACCATTAATGAAGACACAAAATAGCCCACGCAGTACGACGAGTTCAACGGTAATCTGTAATCCTGGTTCAGACAGCCAAAGTTACATTTTTTTATGCTTTTATACGTGCGAAAAACCACCATGTGGTTCCGAGTTATGCCGTAAGAGATGACCTCGAATTCGGTTTCGGGCAGTGTTTCTTGTAACGCGTGCCTTTACATCGAAGTGCACAGGTGCTTTTGCATGTTACCGTCAGCGAAATGCTGCCTCGGCGGCTGCCTATCACACCCGAGCTTTCGCGCATAACAATGCGATGCCCCGTATTCTAGAACGTCCCTTCACTCAACGCTTCACCTTCACTTGAGAAAGCCGATGGGAGCGCCATCTATAAGAACGGCGAGTTACTGCATATCAGGCGATAATCTGCCGTCGACTCTTGAGTAGCGCAGCGTCATTTTTAGCCGAGCAGTGGCGCACTATTCAGCTCTGTCAAGTGAAGGGTGAAAGTCAAGTCGCATTTGTGAATACGGGGAATAGTCTCTAAGGCATAGCCGATATGGTTTCTGACAAATGAAAAAAAATGAACATTTAGCATTAAAATTAGCAATCTATCGTTTTTTGTCATTGGCAGGACTACATTATGGAAAATAGACGTGGAAGACGCGGACACAAAATATATGGGTATCTCTGCCACGAAGCTCTGCATACTGAGGGCTCTTGAAAATATGTACAATAATATAAAATAAAACCCGAAATGAAAAAAGAGAAGGATTCGGGAGGATCCGGAGAATTAGGTTACGTAACGAAAAACGAAATGACACTGCTGCCATTCCTCGTTTGGGGCTGTGAACCGTTCCGGTAATGCCTCTCGCTTATCAGCGAAGACCTTGACATGAGAAGCTCCACAGACTGCCAAGCTTAAAGCCATCGCAGTAGATCTGCATTTTCTGACCGTCATTTTCCGAAGTGAGTAGATAACGTACGAAGCGACAGAGAAAACCGGAAATTTTCTTTTCTCGAATTCAAAGTGGCGCCGTGTATCAGACTCGCTATGCAAGTCTGTGCAGAACAGGCAGGATGTTGCACTGCCGGTTCACTTCGTGCGACTCTCTGAACCCCCACCGGTGCTCTCGTATGTGGGTCTGTATAATCAATGCCACCGCCACTGTCCGAGCGTAGCTATTCGAGCGATAGGAGATGATGTCCACGCCACCTCTTGTGAAGCAAATTTGGCTAACTATATACACGAAAAGAAAGAAGAGGTGTTATGTACACTTCTCCTCGTAGTCCACATCGATGGATTTCACGGAAATACCGCATCTGTGTAGATAGATACTTCCTAAAGTACTTAATGTCTTCATTTGCTCAGTGGTGGCACATTACACTCGTGGACTGATTTTACGTGTGCGTGCGTGCAGGGTGATTCAAGGGAGTCCGAAAATAAAGAAATAAAAGTGCGGCATTTGCTTGATATCTTACGTTTCGCAATGATTCGGTTGTGACGAAATACATATAAAGGATAATATTTACGGCAGCAGGATCCCTGTGCTTTCTCGTGCCGCTGCCAAGCACCGTCTTCGTTTTTTTTTTTTTTGTGCGCTTTCAAGTTTCGTTCTCGAAGTGAAAGAACTTGTGAACGTTATTTGCCGTTTTGTTCACCGCCCAAAAGATGGCGCTATAACGGTATTGTATGGTGTTACGTCACATAAACTCGCGTCAATATTTTTGGTGTCACGATTATTTCACAAATTTTGCGACTTCTGGCGTCATATAATTTTTTGCTTCACTTGTCCCTAACCGCGCGAGACAGTCGCCGGCGGTGGTCGAAATTCCCGTTTCATAAGGCACGTAAGACTAGCCTAAATAAGTTAGCGGCCCTCTTTTTGATAAGAAAAACAGGCCATCAAGTCAATTGGCAAAATTGAGGTCCATCCTGCAAAGAGGTCAATGGTGCTTTGACATTTCCAGAGGATGGTTGTCGTTAGCTCATTGTATACTTTCAGTGCATAGTTTGGTCCATGCTAATTCATACTACAGCAAACGACATCGAGCGCTTTGTACGTTTACCTTGCAGCATTGAAAAGGGGAAGCCAGGAGCTCTCGACAGAGGTGTGCAACTCGACGGTATGTCATGAGCGAGGTAAGTCAGTGACACGTCGACTACATTCATTTAGTTTATTGCTTACTAACTGTGGAGTATACTTTAAGGCCTGGGCTGTTGTATGCTGTCGTTGTCGCTTGGTGTAATGAAAGCAAAACCACGCATAAAAAGAGCAAGCAAGCGAGAAACGGAAAGAGAAAGGGCAGAAATAAACAAAAAAACTACAAAACACAAAAAAGACGACAAAAAAAAACCGAAGAGAAACAAAGCCTACCTGCTAGCTCTGCACTTTATTCAGGCTAGCAATCGCCACTTGTGCGACGCAGGTTTTTTTTTTTAAACTGATTGTTTTATACATACTAACGCAGTCGCGGAGTTCGAGACCCTTGTCTGCGTATATTAGTTGTCATATAGTAAAATGAATTAAAACAAACTGATGCTGATTAGGGCCCTGTAGTTGTTGACTGGCACCGTGCAGACAAGTTTTCCGGTGCGTGCCTGCTGCACCGAAACACAAAACCTAGCGAAAAAAACAATAAAACGTTATAGTACCTTGTAGAGATCAGAACTTCTGAATAATGACTCGAAAAACACCAACCTAACGTCGTTTCCACTATGGATCCACATACGAGGCGCCTAGCTAGCAGACATAGTAAAACGCGGGGTCGCGTTCAAAATGGAATGCCATGCGCGTTTCCCTCCCTGCATTGGTGAACAGATTGTGACAGGAAAATGGTGCCTAGAACATTCTAGGCACTGTAACCGGGTTATGGGTTGGCTATAACCGGTATACACGAGAGACGCGCGTGCCCCTAACGGCCAATGTCTGCCCACTGACCAGGAGTAGCAGCATTGCTCGCAGTGCCCCGTCCCAGGTTCACAATGTCTATGGACATAGAAGTGTGGTAGCTTGGGCTAGTTGGTATGGCATGACGATAGTTATAGCGCGAGAACAAACCGACGACACAGAGACAAGAAGGACACGTGTCTTTCGTCTCCTTCTTGTCTCTGTGTCGTCGTTTTGTTCTCGCGCTAGAACTATCGTCTATGGACAGTTTTACGGAAAATTTTGAGTGCCATCATATACGACTGTTAACCTTTGCGTTTTGCATCCTTAGCAACTAAACAGACGCGTACGCATAAAAACGGTTGGGTTGGTGCATACGACGTTTTATTTCCTTATTAATTCACGTCGCGATATTCAAAAACACGAGAACAATGGCTTAACAGCCTCGGATGGTGGCGCCCAAATGTTTTACGGAAAGCAGTCTGCAGTGACACCCGAATCCTATCGTGGTCTCGCATTATCCTCAAATAAGCCAAATCAGTCTCAACATCACACCAAATCATGAAAAATCAACCTCAACAAGGACTTCATTTTTTTTTGCAGAGCACAAGGTCATACGAGAGACATGTGCGCTATCTTGTTCAAATGGGCTAGGGATGTCTAAAGTGACTGTTTCCATTCACGTTCTTGCTAATTACCCCGCCTATTATTATTTGGCCAGTCTCTTTATAAATTCGGCTGCTGTTTTTGTTTTTCAAACAACTGCTTCAGAGTTGCATTACAAGCTAAGTATTTTATAGTTTCCTCGACCATAGATCACTTGACATCAGTACGAAAGAAATAACATTGAGTCTTTCAATCGAATTCAAATTACTGATATCAACCCAGGCTACTCACGAGAGACCACTTTTCCAAGCAAAAAAAAAGTCAGTATCGCCGCGAGGGCAATGCAATGAATGCGATAGCAACAACTTGGAACCTGAGAATGGCAAGCAAATGAAAACGTGAAGCGCGATACTCACGCACAAATGACGCACGAAAACAACATACACTGGACGAGAGCGAACTAACAACGTTTACCGCTCGACACTTAACGTGCTGTTTAAACGAAAAGGATGCACTAACCGTAATAACAAGTACAAATGAGTTCAAACTAACAAGTGTCGCAATTGTTATACTTCGCTGTGTATGAAAAGCGCGCTCTTTTCGCAAACAGGGCCTGTGCCGCGAGCGAAGTGACCCTTGTGGGCCCGGCAACTAACGCAATCGTTCCGGTGAAAGCCGAAGGCACACGATTCTCCCCATCGAAGGATAAGCGCGTGCGCACGCACAAGCACCTAACCCCCCTCTCCCCGCTCTCTCCCCAATTCGCGGGGAAAAGTACTCGATGGCGATAAGCGCGCGTTGGCGCATCGTGACGAGCTGGGCGCAGAGCGTGGGCGGTTTTTATCCCTTCAGTTTTAACGCGATAGCGTTCGAGAGCTCGTGTCGCCGAAAACCCGCCGCCGGCGTCAGCCCCGTTGGTTGAGAGCGAAAAATTGTCTGTGCGCCTGTGGTCGAAAAATCAAGTTACTCAGATAGCCGTGGGAGTCCGCTACTTGTCTGCGCATGCGCCTGTGATCACACTGAAAAAGCCACGCATTCGAAGAAAAAAAGTGCTCAAGGTCACGAGGCGTGGTAGTTTCTTTGCCCCTGCCACCACTCCCTGCTTAGCTTCCAGAGCTTTCGTCGGGACGAGAGTAGAAATAATGTAATTGCAGCATGCGACAAACCTTTGTAACTCCATTCGCACTGGTCGGATGCTTAAAATTTTTGCGGTGTAGAAAAAATCGCTGCATATCCATGGAGTGAATTGATGAGTGGACAAAGCGTGCATCCATTCGTCCATCCGTCGTGGCATCCGTCCATCCACATGTCTGACCGTCAATCCGTTCATCCACCTAGTGAACACTCTAAGTACCGCCATCTAGTATCTTTTCATCAAATTTCGAAAAGTTAAATCCAACTAGCTCAACAGCAAGTTATTTTCATCATATATTCATCATGTATACAAGTACCGCCATCTAACGGACATTCTAAGGACTAAACGAGAGGTTGCTACCTACTACTACTACTACCACTACCACTACTACTACCACTACTACTACTACTACCACTACTACTACTACCACTACCACTACCACTACCACTACTACTACCACTACTACTACCACTACTACCACTACCACTACTACATACATACATACATACATGGCAGACGCACGACCCACGGCTCAAGGAGCTTCGCCCTAAAACAACTACTTGTGAATAGCCGAAATGGAGCTATAATGACTGCGACTGTTAATATCGTCGCTATGCTGTCACAAACAAACGTCAGCTATACTTCGCCTCAACCGCGCAGGCGAGGTGCACAAAAGACGCTAGCTGTAAATTAAGAGAAGTGCTCTGATAGCATAATTAGTTAATGATGGCCATCTTTAACTGCACAGCAACTGTATACGTTAGACAATTGCTACCTTGCATTATACCCTCCTGGTGTTGTTCTTTTTGTCGTTTTCGCAGCACAACTGATTCTGCAGTCCATGGATGAGAGCGTTGACCCGTGCCAAGATTTCTACGGTTACGTGTGCAACAACTGGATGCGAAACAACCCAATACCGGACGAACGGGCCAGGTATATTGGCGATGCATGATATTGATTCAGTTATTGAACTCTCATTTGTCACATAATAGAATTATCCCATGAATTTTATACGCAGGCGATTATCAAAATAGTACTCAGATTTCTTCAGTTGTAAGTCTTCACTCTTGGCTGCACAAGTGGGGTCTTCCCTCTTGGATGCACAATTTCACTGCCTGTGAAATTATCGCTTAATTTCTCTTCCCTATGTTTATCCAACAAGTAAAGAGTTTGTGCGTGCCAGCGTCAGCTGGAAGTGGATAAACTTCTCCTTTTCTCGATGATTCACGCGGCTGTCCTTTTCCTTTTTTTTCTTACATAATGCACAATCTTTTCTGTCAGCTGATGCATATGTCCTCAGCTTGCCTTTCAAACCACATCGCGTGCGTGCAAGCTCGGGCTGGTGTTTTACGCCTTACACCACGGCCAAGCAGTGAGGGGAAAAAAAAAGGAAAAAAAAATACAGGACTGCATCGTTGTCCTTGAGTAACTTCTCATCTCTTAACACAAGACAACCAAGACAGCAATGGAATGATTCAAGCGTAAGCGCAACTCAAGCGTTCATAGGGCTTCCATATTATTAATAGTATGCAACCGATCTCTTCTCCGGCGATAATTGCAGAAGCTGGTGCCAATACGTGCAGGATCACTTCATTATTAACATGCGCAGAGTGTGAAAAAGAAAAAAAAACGGTAAAGAAATATGCGATGAGCGTATAACATGTGTGAAAGCTGGATTTTCATTCATGCCTACAAAACACTTTGTAAACGCCTAAACTTGTGAAAATTGCGCATGCGCAGACTCGCCAGACATAGCCAACCACACTGTCTCCATGGACCTATACTTATCGCATCCTGACAAAACATCTCGTTGACTACGCCCGAGTCGCGAAAAAAAAACAATTAGTAATTTTGCGCGAAAGTTTTCTTATTCATGTTAAAAAGGCTGCATCTCATTAATGAAGAGCTCCTAGTTCTGCTTGAAGGATTCTTCATTTTGTGATGGGCTTTGTCTATATACTGTATGTTGGCTGGAACAATTTATTACGAATACTTCTGCGCCTTACAACATTTCCTGTGTCTGCATATGTGTGAAGGGCTCAGCAGAGTGTCGACCATCGGCACATGGGTTTCTTGCGAGGAGATACTACAAGACACAGGAACTGTAATTCTGTAATAACCCTCATACCTCAAAGGCCGGATGCGTTCGCTGGAGATGCCCCCATACTCTTTCAGAGATTTCCCAGAATAACGATAGATTGGTCAGTCGGTGTGCCTGCATGTAGAAGATCAGTGAAGCATATTTGCCAGTCACAGCTCTACAGTAAAGACCATTTAGCGCAACTGGCTTCTTAACTAATGACTTACTATTACACTTCGCGTAGGTTTGGGCGCACATATGGGCTGATTTGTAATAGATGGTGATGGCTATACGCTCTCCCATAGTAGAGCACCTGGTACTCTAAATCGTTAACCACTCTTTCTAATCACACAGCAACTGGTAATGCCGTGCTCAGAAAGGGATCACTGGTGTTGAATCTGTTGTGAAACCTCGAGATCACGAATGGCAGTGAACTGTTAGCAAACTAATTTTGAAAAATGTCGGAGTTGAGACCACATGACGTTCAATGCGAGTCATCATGTACAGTTTAATGACGGTGAAACTTTTTAAGCAATACTGAATTGGTAAGAGCAGCATTGGAGATTATTGGGAGCTGCCATCGTCATGCGTCGTCATGCCTTCAATGTTGCAATGTTTTAACCATTCCTCCCTTCAATGCCTTCACGTCCTGAGAGTACGATAGACAGATAGATCGAGATAGATAGATATAGGTAAATGGCCAGATAGAGAGAAAGAGATACAGATAGCCCAATATGAGCAAACAATCTAAAATCAGTTGTCGACTTGAGAAATGTCGGGTAGTCCGGAAGGGAGGCGGGAAAGGGTCGTTGTCATCGACCTGTGTGTTCAACTAGCCTTTCAAACAAGTGAACAAACGAAGATCTATTTTACCGCGAATCGTGGTCCTCTATCGCTTTCGAAGACTCCACGACCAACTGTATATCCTAAAGTCAAGTGGAATGACTATCACCAAGCTCCTCGCATCAATGATTCCATCACGAAAAAGAAAAACCAATGTAATTGTAGATAAATCCAAAGTCAATCGCACCAGCGATTCTTTTGAGCCGAGGTGCCAGGTCGAGACTTCGTGATTAATGGAGTCGAAAATCGAACGAGGACAAGTTATGGGAGAGAGAGAGAACAACATTAGTATATATTGGAGAAAGTCGTCATCGACCTTACAGAGTTATCGAGGCTGAACAAGCATCTTATACGCCATATCCCAGGACACCTTTGACGTAAAAAAATTAATAAATAACGCTGCTAGCAGTCCCACGGAATCGGCTAATAGGTTCTTGCTTCATCGCCTCTGAAGCACTCGCCATTTTTAGTGCATTTATTTTCCCCTCTTCGTGCGGGCGTCTTTCTTAGTTATTGATTTTTCCGTAGCCAGTGTCCCATCTACCGCACGCGTTCATTAGCATGGCGATCACGAGCGGCTAGCTACGCGAGAAGGACTCGGCGAAAGGAGGCGATGGCGAACAAGATCCAACCAGCGTCTGCTTCGTAACGTCTGCTCGCGTCGGCTTCGCCAGGTACGGACTACGCCACCTTTAGCGCAACCAACGCACCGTCCCATTCTGTGACCGCATCTTCCGCTAACCTTGAACGCTGTCGCGCCGCCGTCTGGTGCTTCGCTGCGCCGTCGCCGACGCGCCAAGCGCACGCCGAGCCCATAGGATACGAAGGAGAGAGAGGGGGACGAGGTAGTGATAGAGACTGTTGAATGAGGTGATGAAGGCGTTAAACCTGGCTATTCGCCGGACATGTTACTCCAGACGCCGGGTTATGATTGATATTGTAAGGATCTTATTATGCACTTCATTCTCATCTGCGCAGCAATCAATCTATTTTGCTAATCGTCATCGTTATCGTCATCATTGTCGTTATCGTTATCGTCATCGTCATCATTATCATCGTTATAGTCATCATTATCATTTTCGTCTTCGTCATCGTAATCATCGTCATCCTTATCGTCATCGTCATCCTTATCGTCATCCTTATCGTCATCCTTAACGTCATCGTCATCGTTATCGTTATCGTTATCATCATCATCATCATCATCGTTATCGTTATTGTCATCATCATCATCATCGTTATCGTTATTGTCATCATCATCATCATCATCGTTTTAGGTGTCCGCTTCATCACCGGATTCGTGCCGCTTGTTGGCTGCCAACATCAAGGCCAAATAAACGTCGTTTCGACCAAATCGTCATATACACCGATACACACGTAAAAAAAACACATACACGCGCCGGCACGGAGCTTTACAAAGTATTGAGTGTGATAACCCGCAACAACGTACAGTGCTTTCGCGGCGCGTAAAGCACATGTGGTGTTTTGCCATGGGCCGAGAATATGCCACAGTTCTGTACCACGAGTCCCGTTAAAGGTGCACTGCCGCTTATACGAGACACTATATGATGCGCATGCATCGACTGCCTTATGCAGAGCATCTTGCAGCTCTTCTGAGCTATGCTTAATGGCGAGCCAGACACTTTAATTTAGCTCTTAAAGTAGTTGTTATGAGCATTCAAGTTTCTCGCAGCCGAAGCCCTGCTGTGACAGGTACATACAGTCGGTAGCTACGCCGCGTGAAGCCGGCATTCGCCGGTAAACTGTTGTCAATGAATTTACCTGAAGGTGATTTTCTACAGGCCTTCGGGACGGCTTTATGCTCTCCATAGTAGAGTACTAGTACTCTAAATCGTTAACCACTTTGTCTAAACACAGCTACGACGCACATGCGAGCTACAGACGCAAGACCTATTAGGATCGCGCAGCACGTGTTGCGCGGCGTCGTTGCAAACAGCTGCACTTGAACTTCTGAAAGGAGGAGGTCGCAATATCAGCGGTAGCTTTCGATTACGCCGTTCGCTTATCTGATCAATAGACGCTGCGCTGGCGTAAATAAGTGCGCTCGTCATATAAAGATGAAAGAAATGTTGAGGAAAGGTGAAGGATTGAGGTCAAACGAGATGTGTGGAAATGCGGAGAAAAAATAATTTGAAGGACTGCGTAGTTGAGGTCACGTGACGTACAGTTCTGGTGTGTGCCCGTAGGACGAAATACGTGCGGAGCGAGGCTTTAGACAGTGTGAAGTGAAAAGGCATCAACTCACGCTGTTGATTAAACGAGTCACACGGGAAACCCTGATCGCGATCAGAGCCTATTGGTAATAGACTCGATCCAGATTAAGGGGCTACTACACGGTCATATTTATTCGCGATCAGGCTTGACAGAGATCAATACGATTGCGATCTGCGCATCATAGCGATCTGGCTTCGTGATCGCGATATCGCTGACGTCTGCGCCAAATTCAATGCAGGCTATATCGTGTAGCAGAGACAAGCTTGTTAATCGTGATCAAAAAGTAAGACGTGATCGGGATCGAACGTGCTCGTGTGACATTGGTATAAGTGAGATCCTTGAAAAAGCCCCGAGTGTAACATCTATTTATAGTAACAACTCCGTGCTGAACACCTCGTGATCCGGCCTGATACTATAACGACTTACTAGTTATTATAGCGATATATGCTGGTCTAGAAAAGTGAAGTCTGTTTTCTCTTTTATAGAAGCTGACTCGAAAGACGTGATTTCGATACCGGCTGCGGCGGGTGCATTTCTGTGCGGAAGAAATGTTAAAGTTCACGAGCTTCTAACTTAACTTTAAGTTTCAAGAACCCCACGTGACGGTTGAACTTTCCAGAGCCCCCTGGCCTCACAATCGTATCGGTCTGTTCTGCACGTAAAACCCCTGTTACTATTCTCAAAGAGGTGGCTCACAAAAGTCATGTGACACGCCCCAGGTGGTGACACATGGTGGAGAAAAAAAGTAGCTTATTGCGAGGACAGTGTACGATTAGATGAATGAAAAAATTAAAGGGTAAAAAAGGAGGGGCTCCACAGACTTCAGCAGCTCGCCGCGTCTAGTCCAGGGGCGCCACTTGCGCTTTTTTCTCGCTACCCAGCAAGGCCCGGTGTTCCGTCGCAATGTTCTTTTGAATTTAATTGATGTTGTTCACTGTTAGTGCAAACCGATTTCTCTAAACACGGGTCTCGGTGTATTCAGTTCGCGTTCAGTAGACGAGAGACGTCTTTGTGCTCTCCGTTAGTAAAAGTACCACATACTCTAAATCGTTACTTTTTCTGAACACGCTCACGCACACACACACACACGTGCGTAACTCATTGTTTTGTCCTGAATTTTTTTCACCAGAATCTGAGGCGTGTTATAGTAGCTTAATTCACATTCTCATGTAATGTGAGCAAGTGTTGGCTGACCTCCCCACTGCTTCAAATGACCCAGGATCACAAACGACACTGATTCAGGCTGAAGCGGTTAAGTACACGTCAACTAGTAAAGTGACTTCGTCGTTCACACATGTCTTGATTAAGACGCGGTATATCAGTGACGTCATACCTACAACAGCCTATTAGTTGCGTAAGAAGGCAGTCTGATTGATGGGCTCTCACTGGTCCTTCTAATTGTCATAGTCACGGACTTTGTAAGCACGCTACTATGCGTAATGGTGTTGTGTCATCTTGCTCACGTGGTGTTTTGCGCAGATGGCGCCTTTCCTGTTTTCGTTGGAAGAAATAAGCCTTCGAATGAAAGTGACATTAGGACAAAAAAAGAAAACACAAAAATTGCTGATTTAGTTTTTAGTCTCTTGAGGAAACGACGCGAAATCGAAATGTGGCAAGGATTTATAATTCTGATCACGGTCGGCGGGTAGGCGCCTATACAAGCGAGGTGCTTATTCCGACGTGTTTTGGAATGTCGATTGGGCGCAATAAAAGCTACACGCGTAGTGAGGCGGTAAGCTTGCTGTCGGGTCGGAATATACGACGCAGGTTTCAAGAGGTCTTTCATCTGTTTACATTCTTCACCACTAACTTATGAGCTGCGTCCATGCTAGGCTTTCCAAAGACCAACGTGTTATTTTCGAGGGGAATGTACTTTAAGCTGGTGCGTAACGTATTAAAACGTCGCTGACACCCCCTCCCCCCCACTCATGCTAATATTTTTTGGATTAGTTGTATTAGGGACAATGTCTTGTTTAGTATTCGAAGGTGTCTGTCGCTACTTCGTCAGCTTTCGCACGGATTTTCACGCCAAAGCATCTTTGAACGCATATAAATGTGTGGTGTATGATAGTTTATCTGTGTATACACATCTGCAGCGGGAAGGGTCAAGAAGTAAGCAGTGCGACCGCGTTATTGAAAACCAGCTGTGTAGGCAAGACAATGTCACGGAAGCTTTCTACAGATTCCTTCAATATCTTCTTCGCTTCGATTTGAAATCTTACAGGCACGTAGCGGCTTTCGGCCTGGAACCAGAATGGGCAACGCGCACGCGAAGTTAATTTACATCACATTCGACATTTTGGCAGAAGTCAGTGTGATGTAAGCCTTTTTTTATCAACTGTTTAAACACATCATTAAACACATCATTTAACAAATCATTAAACACATCATTTTATCACTGTTTAAACACATTGAACACCGAAGAAACAGCAAGTGATGGGAATACAATAGCAACGTTTTAGTGCAACGATGGTTTCATGAGGAACGCATTCAACTATAATTCTCTATTCGAAGTCTACAGTTGCATACAGTAGCATAGGCCTGGAGCTCGTGTCCCCGAAGAGATATGAGCTTAGTAAAAAAGTAGCCCAGTCTAAATATCTAGCTAGTACTCTAAATACCTCATTCGTGATCTAATTCATAGAAAGTGTGCAGTAGAACGGGTTAACAGATACAGTAAAAAAGAACACTGATCGAAAAAATTACGTGCCTTTTTGTTTAAGGGTAGCTGTTATCCCTACTCATGACATGCGTCGAGAATGATATAGCCGACAATAGCTGGCGGTTGGTCTATCTATACACTATCCAACAGTAACCAAGTCTTAGCTAATGCTATAGTCAACAATAGGCGACCATTAGCCAACTGTCCTCGCTTATGATTCGTAATGGTTTCAAAAGTAACTAATAATATACTTCATTGGTTTGATTGATTGATTTCTGGGGTTTAACGTCTCAAAACCACCATATGATTATGAGAGACGCCGTAGTTGAGGGTTCCGGAAATTTCGACCACCTGGGGTTCTTTAACGTGCGCCCAAATTTGAGCACACGGGCCTACAACATTTCCGCCTCCATCGGAAATGCATCCGCTGCAGCCGGGAATCGAACCCGTGACCTTCGGGTCAGCAGACGAGTACCTTAGCCACTAGACCACCGCGGTGGGGCTAATATACTTCATATTTCGCCTTGCTTATAATTTCTCGCGATAATTTTTACGTCATGCTGAGCTTAAGCTTCTTTCTTATACTCTAGTTTTAGCCACCGAAATGGTGTTGTTTTTGAGTAATTCAGAAGCACCTTCTGTAACCTTGGCTCATTTTGTGCACGACGTTTCGAATCGAAATTAAAAGAATGACGCTTTTCTTGAGGTGGTCGGCATCATTTCGGGAAATCCCATTAGCATCGATGTAGGTGTTAACCGTCTTGCCGTTAGCGGACTGGACACGATAACACGGAAATAACGACGTGGCTGCAGGTAAAAAAACTCGGCGATGACTCACTCAAGCTGCGAAAGCTCGCACACCAGTCGTATACGCCGATAAGATTGATGGTCGCGGCACTACCCGCGGCCACACGCGGTCAAATGTTAAAACAAGAAGAGAGAGAGAGAGAGAAAGAAAGGCGCGCCTTTACACGTGGTATACACACAAAGGGGGCGTCACTCTCGCACCGTCATCTCCTAATTGAAGAAGCAGCGATTAAATTCCGCCCGTGCGGCAAGGCAACGCGTATCGGGCTTCCTGCGATACGCTAATTGGCCTTCTTCGAGACGGCGGAGCGCGCCGCGAAGTAGCCAAGGCCGACGATAACGAGCCTCCTTATGATGTGACTGGCTTTTCCTTTCTTGCGCGGTTGTATGGTCTGGGTTATCCCCGCCTCCGAGGCGCTAATGTAGCTGCCGCTTCTACTGTGCCTCGTGTGGTTATTACGTGTACTTTTTTATACTTCTATACTTTTATACTTCTTTCTCGTCCATCCGATGACCGTATACAATTCAGCTTGGGACGGAATAAAAAAAAAGAGTAGGGGCCTTCTAAATTTATTTCCAATTTGTTCCGCGGCACGCCAGCGCTGCTACGCGAAGCTGGATTCAGTAAAGCAAGAAATTGTGCTTCTTGGTTTTCGCTTCCTCCTGTTTTGCGCCAAATTCAACTCAGAATAAAGGCAACACTGAAAAAAAAAATAGATGCGATCCTTGAAATGCCGGGTTTGACCGCGGTTAACAATTCTAATCTGTTGCATGTAGTACATTGCAACACGAAATACGGTAATATCAATTACTCTAGGTTGGGATAGGAAGCAAAGCAGCGAGTGATCGTTTAGTTTGAAATTGTGCCGATATGACATTTTTGTGATATTTTGTCCTACTTGTGCCAATACAGGTTATTTGTCGTAGTGTGCGAAAGCACGGCGGGCAAGTTTTTCGCATGTTGTTTGCGCCGCTGGCCCGCCAGATTAGCTAATAATAATGGCTGGCGTGTGCTCTCACGAACAGCAATAGCTTAACAGTGTTAATCATTACTACTACTTATTATTATTATTATTATTATTATTATTATTATTATTATTATTAATATTATTATTTCACAATGTAGATGCTTTGTCGCTCCAGCTATATATAGGTTGACAAAAGCAGCTGGAGCAGCTAGTGGTATGGTTACAACCGTTTATTTACTCTATTGCAGGTTCAGCAAGTTCGATAGACTGCGGCTGAAGGTTCTTCATCAACTCAGAGGCAAGTTATTCATCTTTTACAGCGAAAGCTGGTATACGATCACAACATGGGTCACGCGCAGATGCATGTTGTTGTACGCCACCGCCGCCACCGGTGTCCGTAACCACATCGCGCGAAATTTAAAAACAAAAAAACCTTGCATTTACACACACACCTTTTGGGGCTTCAACCTGGGTCCGTTGGGTGCCAGCCCAATATTTTACCACTGAGTTACGCCAATGCTTGTAATTTGTGGTCAAACTTGCCTTAGGCAGCTATGACCTAGCACCAATGGCACAGTGGAGCTCGAACCCGGGTCCGCTAGGTGCCAGCGCAGTATTTTACTACTGAGCTACTGTGGTGCTTGTGGCTTGTTTTCAAACTTGCCTTAGGCAGGCTTGATTACGTGAAAGCAATCGCGTTAATATGACTTAAGCGTTTTACAAACAGCCAAAGAATAACCATGCAGTCGTCGCACAATGCGATTAGCGTAACGAGTGGGCCGTCCAATGCTCCAACCCATTACAAAAGCTTGTTCTTGTTTCCCTATTAACTGTTGCGCACCCACTTCAGCAATAATTTCTCGTCGCCGTCAGCCACTACGTGTACAATTGGCACGAAATTCCTAGCAAGTGTTTAGCGGATACCACGCTTTTAAGAAGAATGTCGAAAAATAGCATAGCAAAAGCCGGCCTACTACCCAAAAGTTTATTATTAATGCAATAGTGGGTACCAAGCAAATGTGCTTGCAGTAGTTACCCAATGAGTGTTTTGAAAGGGCTCTGAAAGGCCGCTTCTAGCTTTCGTTGTGACTGTGCTGCGCCTACGCGCAGGCCTGGCGTTTTTTTTTTTTTTTTTGTGATGGCAGTTTATACGGGGTAGGATTTTACCAAACAAAACTAGCTTTAGAGTTTTCCTCAGTCTTTCGATATTGTTAAGATTGAGACATTTTGTTGTCCTTGTATTCATTCGGACTTCATAATATTACGCGTTTCAGCTGTATTCCTGTAATATCTGAAGATAATTAAGCGTGTTTCATTAGGACAACACAGGGTAGCCCTCTTCAATATATGCTCTTGTTGTATTTGACAAGGTTTCGATATGACTGCCGATGTTTGTATGCCGTAATACCATCAATAAAAAGGTTATGAATTCATTTTATAGCATGGGTGGGCTCAATACACTATAAGCTTTCTGTACCTTTTGTGATAAAAAACGTAGCAGCTTACAGTTATTACAAGGATCTTCCCTTTGGCAGAGCTTGTTCCTGGACGAGTTCGCGCTTAAATTTTCTGAACATGTTAACCCTAGTGCAATGCTTCTCTTTGTTTTCTCCTTCTTTGGCGCATTGCGCCAGAAATACCTTCTTTAGCACACTCTTCACTGCGGCACTTCGAAACTCCGTAATCGCATTCGATAGAAACTCGCGACGATATGTTGCCAACTTTCCTACGAAAAATAGTGTTCATAGCCTATAAACTTATCAAGTGACACTCATTCGGGTATCGGAGCAAAATAACCAAAGCTAGAGAAATTTTTGGCAACTCCTAGTTTGTGGCATATGCTGATTTAGCTGAGAAACTTCGTTTGTGCATAGCTCTCACAACCGCACCGTTATGGAAACGCCTCCCGGCCGTGGTGACGTAGCACGTAAGGTCTCGCGCTTCTAAACTAGAGATTCAGCTGGTTGCATGGCAGGCTTTGCTAAGTTCTCTATGGATGTGTCTCTTACTTGTTAACTGGAATGCTTAAAGGAATTGGCGAATAATGGCTGTCTCACGAACGCTTTCTCATTGCAGACATCTTGGAGAAGGCGCCGTACAAGGTGGAGGACCAGAACGTCACCGACCAAGTGGTGCTTGCCTATCACTGCTGCACCAATGAATGTGAGTGTCCGTCAGCTATAGCAGCGTTCTTGCATACAAAGGACGAGAATGATATCATCACCTTAACGATCATAATCATTATACTTAAAAGCCTTTGTTCAGATGTTGAGGGTAGAAGATTGGTAAAACGAGAATACTGAAGAATTCATGATTTGAGTAAATGCAATTACAGCAGGCAACACAAGGTGAATTGCAAAGCTACAAATGCACATTGTCTGCATGGTCTGTCTCGCGGAACAGAGGCCACAGCTTACCGTAGTACCAACCAACAAAAGTGCATTTATTTGTACCTCTCAAATAGCAAAATGGAGTCGCTCGTGTGAAATGAAATATAGAAGGCACGTATGTTGGCTAACGCCACCGCATCGGTACTACACGTCATGTCCCCTTAATTGGATGCTTATTTGTGCCGTCGCATGTACGCTTGCGACCACTTGGAAGGAACTTTCAAAACCAGGCAGTGCGCCACATGAATTGTGTAATATTAAATTAGTGGGTGTGTTGTCGTGCGCTTGCCGGTCATTGTTATGGTTCACAATAAACGACATTCCAAAATATATTATTATATCGTAGAAAATATTGTGGTCTAAACGCAATTTAACTATACGCTAGGACAACACTGTATAGTGCCTAGTACTTCACTCAGACAACAAAAAGTTGTATTTACTAGGGCAAAAGGTGGACGTTTTCTGACCAACAGACTCCAGCACCCGAATGCTTACACTTAGAGCATGTGGGATAATCAGGTTGAACAGGAGTGTCTCAGACAGGCTGGCCGACGTTTTGATAGGAGGACCTATCTTCATCAAAGGCACCTTGTCATCCTTGGCGTGTTAGTTTTAGGAAGGTTAATAGTGACGTCAACTTCTGGTGGGGCTGCTTGTCCGACAGGGGCATGCGCTACCACCAGAAGATGACGTCACTATTAACCCTTTTAAAGCTATCACGCCACAGATGACAAAGTGCCTTTGAAAAAGATAGGCCCTCCAATCGAAACGTCGGTCAGCCTGTCTAAGGCACTTCTACTGTTCAACCTGACTATCCCACTACGTGTTTCCATCTGTCGGCTCCCATTTAGATTTTCGATTTCCACACTTAGAGCATGCAGCAATGAAAACTGAGAGAGTTCTACAATATCGCGCGTGGAACATAGTTTTATGTACACTAATCAACAGAACGAGGTGCGTAGTTTTATTATCGTAAATGAATAAAGACATTATAATATTACATATTCGTTACGAAAACGTTCCTTCCCCATGTGTGCAACAAGAACGAATGAACAACAACATTTCACATTCCGCGATTCGTTGTCAACTAATGAATTTTCTACGGTAATCTCGCAGCCATAAGCGAGGAAACAAAGTACGCTGCCCTGCGTACCATGCTTAGCAGCGTCGGCATCCACGATTGGCCCCGGCCCGTAGGCTGGCCGGAGGCGCCATCTTGGGAGGAGCTGTTCGTCCAAGCGTACACCAAGACCGGACTGAGCTTCATCATGGCCACCGGTGTGGGAGTTGATCTCAAGAACACTTCGGTCTACGTCATCAGCGTGAGTATGGGTGGCCGTAATTTCGGAGCTCTGCTATCACTCCACTTACGTGCCGGTTCATCCAGGTTAAGCGACCGCTTGTAGACTCGCAATGGACACACATGCTCCCTTGACAGTGCTTTTTTTTCTTTCTTCTTTTGTTGCCTTGACCACGTGCTACTATTACTGTTATCTACAAGTTGTATTACTGCTGACACTACTGTTACGATCACAACGACGTCAAGAGGTACGCTAATCGCAGTTATGGTGTAAAAAATATATTTGTAGGCGACAAGCATACTCGCTGCAATAAGTGATCCATAACATAGTTCACCCCACTTGTTTCCCTCGCAGTTAGATCAACCCGGCTTCGGAATCGGCCGAAACCAGCTGATCAACATGTCAACACCCAACAACGAGCCCATCGTCAGGGCGTATAAGACGTACATGGCGGGGTCGATACGCTTCATGCAACCCAGTCTCAGTGATAGCGCAGTCGACGCCGTCGTAGAGGACATCATCAACTTCGAATCTCAACTGGCCAGGGTAAGCACCACTCTTTTTCAACAAGCGATTGTCTTCTTAAAAATAAAGGGCGCCGTAACGGCAACAGCTGCAAGGGTGTTCCTCGGGAATCCTCCGGCGCTGAAAACTTCTTAGTACCTTTCTATGAGTTTCTTGACAGAGTTCCTTAAGTCAACGCTAAATATAGCACTGGCGAAAGGATATGCTCCCGCAAAACATTCATTGAGTCACTGTCATGGTTTGCGGTCTGGGTAATATGGTGCCGTTTTTTTTTTTATTTTGACAGTGACATGCGATTATGTTAGCGCACAAATAAGGCTCTGGCTGCTCCGAGCTCTAAGAGGTGCCAAGCGTAGAACATAGATCATCTAAAACTTCTGGTCTTAACAAATGCTCAGCACATGCAGTATACACCTCCAAGAGCGCCATGACATCATAAGGTCTCAACGATTCATACAATAATCTCCCCTTGTACGAAGTTTTCAGGTTGTATATCATGTACATGGACAATCACGTAAATATGCAATGCGACGGTGCAGACAACAAAGTACGTGATCACTTATGTGCTAAAACAAAACTTAACATATATACTCTTCAGAAGTTCAAGTGTAGAATCCAAAAGCCAACACATATTGGACAGAATCGGGGCACGAAACGACTAAGAAGTTGCTGCTTGTCGGCTGATTCGATTCCGCATTGGTCCCCCATACCCTTATTTTTTTGTTCATTTTTTTTTCCTCACTAACACTTTGCACGTCCCTCTGATCGTCACTTCCCCTTCGGAATAGGCCAACGGTTTACCTAGCGACGACTTCATATTGGGTTCACCTAGCGACGACTTCATAGCGTAACGTCATTGTCAACGTACCAACAGGACATCAATGATAACGTTAGCGACGTTTAGCGCTTAGCTTCGTTTGACGAAGTGGTCATACGACTGTCAGTACAATTAGTGTTCGTGCCGCAGCCATACGACGCAGCAACATGATCTTCATTTTATTCTTTAATTTTTGCTCATTAGAGATCAGACTTCGCCTTAGAAACTTCAAGCCTCGATAAACAAAGCAAGAACACATCAGATAAATTTAAGGACATTTCATTATACCACACCCACTACCTAATCACTCGATGGCGTTCATTATCGCAATATTTTCATATTTTTCAAGTCTACATGATAAACAGGCACACCTTAAGCTAGAGATTAGACTCAAAAGATTCAGACTTGTCTTTGATTGATATGTGGGGTTTAACGTCCCAAAACCACCTTATGATTATGAGAGACGCCGTAGTGGAGGGCTCCGGAAATTTAGACCACCTGGGGAGACTTGTCTTTGTCCAGCCTAGCTTGAGCACTGAAGGGCATATGCAAATATCAAAAATAGATTGCAAAGGTCTACCACGGCGATGAGCTGTAGGTTTCACATAAAAGACAAATGGGGTTGGCAATGTGTCACAAAATTTGTCTTCAAGATTCCGTGCACATCCATGGTTTTGCGATCTTCGCTGTGTTCTGGGTGCTATACATCAAAACAATGAAATAGAACAGTTCTGTATTCTGCACGCCTTCAGAGAATGGGTTCTTTTACTTGTTCTTGCGAGTCCTGACTTGGCGATTATGATTATCTCTAAAAAGCCACGTGAACTCTCGTAGGGGCTTATTTAACTCTCGTCTGAGATTCGTAGTACCAAAAAGGTAATGTCTCTTTAAAGAGAGTCGTAACGGCTAAGCGCTCATTTAAGATTCCATGAAAAGAGTAACCCATACAACTTTTTTTTTTCTTGGAAGAGTACGGCAATCATTGCTTATCAGTCCTACAGTCCTCTGAATATCTAAAGCTCAGAAGTAACAACAACAAAGTGGTCATTGGCTCACAACACGCGGGAAGAGAGTGAGAAAAATAAGGAATCGTTTGATTCACACTCGAAGTAAACGTGTCATTTTCGCACAATAATGTCTGCCGGCTTGTAATACATGATTAACGCGAGCTTGGCTCACCTTGCAACGTGAGGCATGCCGACGTGCCTACAACGCGTAAAAGGTGCTGAAACCTTGACCCTCTGCCGTGTTCAACATTTGTAATTATACCGAATTACTCCATCTTGCTCACGAGAATAAGGAAACGCGTACAACATCCAGCTGAGCCGTTAAGTTAGTTGCGACTGAGTGAAACAAAATGAAAGTGATGTCTAAGACTTCAAGGATAAACCGGCACACTGCAGCCGTCTTCTTCCGCAATCTTATTTCGCAATCAAAAATAAAATAAAAACAGTCACACGAGAGATGTAATAAAAAGAAATCAGCAATACTGAATCGTGATTTCATGCTAAGAATCTCAAAGCGCAGCCCCCATGTGTGTGTGTGTGTTTTTTTTTTTTCAATTTTCTTTCAGCGCACCAGGTCTCCCGAAGATCGACGAGTATTCGACACCATGTACAACCGCCGGACAGTTGCCAACTTGAGTGCAGAGTTCCCGCAGGCAAGTACATTACTCATAAGTCTGCCCACTCGGCGTGAAATGAGGAGAAAAAAAAAGGAGGGGGGGGGGGTTCTAAAAATGGGTGCCTCGTGGTTTTTCTCAGTCACCCTAACATCGTTCCATGCCCCCCTGGCGGTCATGTAGAATACGTCGAGAGAGATTACAAGATATGTGTTACATCAACTTCAATAATTTTCGCTTGGACGGGAAATATAGACGGAAAAAGTTAATCGCCGAAAGGTTAAAGTGATGAGGAAAAAAACGTGATTGATTCGGCAATTTCACTATCTTAGTTTCCTTATCTTGGTTTTCAGCTTTGGTGGGCAACGTCTGGAGCGTAAGGAGCTTCGGCAAATCAGCGCAGCTTATAAAAATTGAAGGAACCCAGAGCATACAGAGATAGAAAAAACGCTTTAATCCTTTGCTGTCTTCTTCACCTATCTACTCTTACGGGTTCCATTAATATCACTCAATTGCGTTTACTCACAAAAAATTACGCAACACTTATTTGCCGAAGCTTCCAACGCTTTTGTAAAGTAGAAATAAAAAAAAACCTAACCGTTTTAAGATCCGAGGAAATCGGGCGTGGATTGGCAAACTTGTTCGTGCCCAATGTTGATTAGTGTTGAATGTCCAACGTCTACAGAGGTGGGTGAATCTTGCCATTTCAGGCCCTATCTTACCGCTGGATCAGCTTTAGGGTTACTTCACTGTTTTAATTTTTAGTGAAACTTCACACGTAAACTTAGGAGCACAATGCGAAGAAGACCGCAACTCAAAGGCTTATTACAGTTGCAAATCGATGTTGGCAAAACTGGTGTATGCCTCAATAAAACATTGCGTCAGCATACCTGTTCGATGGGTACTTCCTTATTCTATCTATCTTCTTATTGTCCAACTTGTGCCTTCAATCTTTTTTTCTTTTTAATATATGAACTGCCATTTACACGCAGGTGGGTGAAAATGTGCGAGAAATCATCGAAACATTCGACATTAACAAAAATCTTCGTTCTTGGTCTTCAGTGCTATCTACCAGCCTAACAGATTGTGAGATCACCGTTATCGGGCATTTTTGAACATCGTTTGGATAGTTATGTTCGAGCTTTTATTCTTAGCGGTTAGCAACAGATCACCATTCAGCTAGTTCAGCGCCTCACACAGTGGTCTTCTTTGGCTCGTGCTTCCGTCCTTGGCGCTGCTTTTAAAATGAACGTTAAATAACTCGCGAAGTCTCCCATTGTTTCGCAGCCACGTTCCAAGATTCATACTTTTGAGCAGTATTATGTGGACATTAATGAAATTATTTTTAATCATGCTGCTGGCGTGGTCCGCACTTCAAGGCATAGTACCACTGCGATGACCTGTTCCATTGTATCTTTAAGGTGGACTGGCTAACCATACTGAACCGAATTTTCGAGCCAATCAACCTAACAATGACCGAGGAAGAAGACGTTGTCATGAGGGAACCAGAATACTACAACTCCACGCTTGACTTTCTCAAAACTGTCGAAGGGTGAGTATACCAACACTCGCATTGTCTCTTGTATATTTCGCCTATGACAACTCCCAGTCGAAGGCAATATTTTTGCTTTTCTGTTTTTTATAGTCACTTTCAACACGCTGTACAAAAATTGTAAAAAAAACATTTTTCGGTTCCGTAGCTTCACTGGTTAGTGTAGGTACTAATGATTAGAATGCCGCATAACTTGGCAAATGGCATCGACAGTGACAAATAGAACAGGTGTACAAACACATCTACTAGATTAAACTATCCACATTTAGAGACAAAGAAAAGCACACGGATTATATATCAAATTAAACTACCTTACGTTCACATAGAATTAGCTTCATGACTGCAAAAGAGTCGCGTGCTGCTTTTACATCGGCCAGGCGTAGCATTTAGAATGAGAGCGCCATGAAATACTATTTACTGCTCACCGTGAATGTTTCTACCAGCCAGGTAAATTAAAGCGATTAGTTGGTCGCAGCGCTTGTGCTGGGTAACGGTGGCTAAAATTTGCTTAGTTGTAGAGGACTGTCGTGTTTTATTGTTACGTGAATTATATCTGCGATGCTGTTACGGGAACCAAGTCAAATGGAAGTACGGGCACCTGTTAGAACAGTGGTTTTCTTGTATCCACTCTGTTTAAAAAAATATATAGTAATTCACATTGCCCTCTTAGTTACTGAGAAGTTTCAAATAAGTTTTGCATGTGCTGCCTCCTGATGTGTGTTGTCTCATTCAATGTATTTATCGTGCCCCGACCCCTCCCAAGGCTTTCTGCATTCAAACCTGGTCTTGCAAGGCGTGGGATCGGTGGCATTTTAATGTTTTCCGCACACCAGCAGGGTTTGCGCGGCCACCGTGATCGGCCTTCCTATGACCAAGCGACGATGTCGGATGACGTCATCATGTGACGTCACAAATTCAGGCGATCTGTGACGTCACAATGACTTTACGTGGCAAAGTCATCACGTGAGGTCTTCGGGGCGAAGCTCCTTAGTGTGTGGGTCGTTCCTTCATAGTGTGTAGTTGTAGCCACTTTTAGATAACTTTAAGAATTGCTCTCTAGATGGCGTTGTTTGTATATGTTCTTGGAAACATCACTAGATGGCATTAGTGGTTTTCGTATAGTCGAAGAATAAGGAGAATCAATGGCGCTGTTATAATAAGAAATTCGCAGTATATCCACTGAGTGAATGATGATGAGTGTGGTGAAGCGTCTGTCTGTCCATCGAATGCTTGCTATAGTGTAATAGAAGTGGACGGACGCTTCGCCCCTACTCATCCTTCACTTAGTGGATATGCTGTGAATTTTTTGTTCTCGCATCATTCGTTCTGGCGCCGACGCCGCGGGATGACTGTCGACGACGTCGACGTTCAATTCATGCTTGGTGAGTGATCTGAGGTCTTCGCTTCAATATGTGTCAAACATATGAATCGTTAGCAGCTTTACATAGTCCAAAAATACAGGGTGAAGTTGGGTGGTAAATTAGACTAGTCAGATGATTCGCTACCCTAAGCACAGTCTAAAACAGGTCGATAGAAAAAGGAAAAAAAATGGAGTATGTAGTATGCCAATACGCACCACTATAAATGTTCATCCCAGCTATTTTGGTTTTGTCAGCAGTCTCGGTATTGCCACTGGACGCGAAATCTAGCAGCACAGTGGTGCCGCAAGTTTGGCTACTTCAAAAAACTTCGCTGTGACTTTTATTCATCGTGTTCGAGCCTTTGAATCTATCTATGGTATGAAAGGACTGCTGCCTTCAAAAAATATTTTTGACTCTTCACTTATTGATCTTCGACTATCCCGTATACGTGAAGTTGTCTGCTTTTAAAAATGTTTGTGCATTTCACGGGCAGTTTCTGCGACCCTAACTGTATTCACTCGACTACAACAGTGTTGGTCTGTGTAGCATTAGTCGAATTTACACTGGTAATCAATTGCAAGAAGAAAAAGGTCGCACTTTGAAGATTACGGACTAAACGTGTTGACATAAATGCACTAAACGTCAACGAAAGTTTGTCGTGTGATAAGCAATGATTGTGTGTGTTTATGCACATTTCACGGTATATATATGTATATATATATATATATATATATATATATATATATATATATATATATATATGTATGTATGTATATGTGTATGTATATATGTATATGTATAGGTATATGTATATGTATGTATGTATATGTGTATGTATATATGTATATGTATAGGTATATGTATATGTATAGGTATATGTATGTATGTGACGCTACAAAATTGAGACGCGTCGTGGTCCAGATGCCATGCGTTTATTCTAATGCACGCGCACTTCCTCTACGTTGGCTTCTCCTAGAATCACCTTAATCTATAACTACTATATATATAACAAGGTGATCGCGCCCTCACCCACCACGATGCGCTTTAAAACAATGCCACATTTTCCTATGATCCCTTGCAAAGAAGCTTGCAAGATTCACTCTGTTGCTCTTAATTACCCCCGTTTGTCTTGCCTGTCTATGTTTATTTCTTGTTCGCGATTTAGACTTAGATACACTCAAAACGCATTTGTTTCCTGAACCACTCTGCTCTCTTCTTGTCCCTTGAAGGTTACACCTATTCACGACTCTCTGCGTTGTCCTCAGTTAAAGCTCAACCTCCTTCTTGTACTACTTTACATCTTAGCGTTCGAAGTTTTTGGAAATTGACAAAACTTGGCCTTACAAAGTTCTACTACCACAGGGCCACAATCTACAACTACGTCGGATGGCGACTAATGCAGAACTTCGGACCGACTTCGTCCAAGTTGCTGCGTAAGTTGGAATTCGAGTTCGTGCGGGTGGTGCAGGGAGTGGAGAAGATTCTGCCGATATGGCAGCGCTGTATCGGCAGCATCAGCGCCATACTTGATCACCCGATGGGCAGGCTCTACATCGACAGGGAGTTCAGTCCACAAGCGAAGGAAGACGTAAGTACGAAGACCGCGTGGTCGTTTTACATTTTTATTCAAACAAGTAACACTTTTCCTGGAGGCCAATTTGTTTAAGCAGAGCCTATTTATCATTTCCTGGTAGTAATGAAACTCGCACGTGACGCTATGGTAACGACTCGTAGAGTGCCAGCAGTTGCCGCTACGCGGCGTTCCGTAACTTGAAGGCGAAGGGAGGCATGATGTGCGCGCCTCCGTCTTGATGGAGGCATGTAGGCGCACTCATGAAGGCTCCCTACGAAGGCGAGCCTTGATGTGTGCGGAGAAAGTGCACATCAAGGTGCCTTGGAAGACGCTCTTTTAGCGTTTTAGTCGGTATAGGACAAACAGTGCATGTTACCTTGCGTGATTGTATTTGTTTCACCTCAACGTGTCTTCCGTGTAGTAAAGCAAATTTTTGTCAGAACGCAACACAAAAATAATTGATATTTTATTTATTGAATACAAATGTTAGCCTAAAAGATATGAAGCCAGCCTAAAGTATTATTGCTGTGCATGTTTGTTTTATGTTTCGCCCGAATAACATTCAGTCGCACTGATAGAACCAACAATCTAACCAGGGCCGGCACGCAGGGTTCTCACTAGAGATAATGCCGGCGAACGATCAGCTGTTCGTCTTTCTCTTAGGGCCTTTATTTATTGCATCTTTGGGAAGGCTTTAAGCTCTTCCAGAATACCTATAGTACTTTGAATCACCACCCAATTTTTCTAAACGTACAAGTCTCCCTTCTGACGAGTGTCTCATACGGGACGGTTTTATGCTCTCCCATGTTCAAGTACCCACGTACTCAAAATTGTTAACCACCTTTTCAAAACACGCATTCAGAGATCATCAGTCTAGAAATCGGGATGATATAGTCCCATGGTAGCATACCAAGTACTTAAAATCGTTAACCACTTTTTCTATACACATTTTCACACAACAGGACTGCAACGACAATCTGCTCTGCCTCAGTGGAGTACCGATGAAGTACTCTAAATCGTCACACTTTTTCGGAACACAGTCTAAACGCACAATGATTCCTTTATCATTGGAGCAGCGAATTGTTTTCGCTCACTTCGCTGCTGCGAATCGCGAAACCCTTTTCGATTTAGAGCATTTCTTGCCCGCGGGTCTGTCCCACACCAATCATCTGCACTCAGATTACGTGTGCGTGACCCTGCTCCTGCGCCTAGTGGTCGGCGCCTGGTGGTCTATATATATGGTCGGACCACACGTACGCGTTTAAGCACGTCAGAACGTGACTGCTGACGCGGCACCATGCCCTCCCTCTACCGAGAGGGACGGCGTACAGCTTGACATAACTGTGGCACGACGCCGCTAAACAAAAATGGCCCCATGTCTGCATCCTAATCAGCAAATGTCGTTCAAAGACGATAGTGTCGCGTGTGAAGAGAGTGAACAAAACATTCATTGGATGTTCTGCGCAAGAAAGTCGGTGAATGGTATTCTGGAGGTGTTGCGTTAGAGTGCCTCGAGCGTGCAGTGGAGGCGAACGAGCGCGTCAACTCACGTCACACGTGAAACATTAGCGCCATCTGGCAGTTTTAGAGACGAAACTTTTTATAGCGGCACCCGTTCGTCCTTCGTAGTATGTAACAAGTATAACATTTTGACCTCCAAGGTGATGCCAGTGAGAGACTTCTTCTGTGCGTTGTTAAACAACAAAAAATAGTGCTCAATGTACATGTCAATGGCTGCTAATGGGGAAAGAGGGACATGAGCATTCGGCTTTTAGTTAACGCGCAAGCTGCGATCACCATTAGCAGCTATTGGCATGTACATTGAGCACTATCTGACAAGAAAGGGTTGCTACGTTATACTCGCTGGGTGTAACCTCCTTAGCTTTAGAAAGGTTTAGCGAGCGTTGAGCCGCAGTGCCATGAATACACTGAACTTGTATGAACGAGCGGAGAGGCATGGCCTCTCTGTTCCGACATGGGACTAGCCAACGGCTGGGTGGGGACCTACATAGTTGGCCCGCTGCCTTGCCTCTCAGGACCAAATAAAGTTGTTTGTCCTGTCCTGTATGTACCATGAATGAACTCGAGGTGGTTAAAAATGGGAAGTAGATACGAAGCGCAAGCCGTAAGAAAGTAAAAGCCACCACCACCACCATCGAATTCTCCGCCTCTCATTTCCCATTAGCAGCCATTGGCATGTACATTGAGCACGATCTGACAAGAAAGGGTTGCTACGTTATACTCGCTGGGTGTAACCTCCTTAGCTTTAGAAAGGTTTAGCGAGCGTTGAGCCGCAGTGCCATGAATACACTGAACTTGTATGTACCATGAATGAACTCGAGGTGGTTAAAAATGGGAAGTAGATACGAAGCGCAAGCCGTAAGAAAGTAAAAGCCACCACCACCACCATCGAATTCTCCGCCTCTCATTTCCCATTAGCAGCCATTGGCATGTACATTGAGCACTATCTGACTGAAAAAGTTTGCTGCGTCATAATCGCTGGGCGTAACCTCCTTGGTTTTCGAAAGGTTTAGCGAGCGTTCAGCCGCAGTGCCATGAATACAGTGAACTAGTATATACCATGAACTCGAGGTGGTTAAAGGTGGGAAGTGGACCCGAAGCGCAAGCCGTAAGAAAGCGTGCGTGTGCCACCTCTCGTTTAGTCCTTGGAATGTCCGCTGGAAGGCGGTGCTTCTATATGGGGAATATATGATGAAAAGATGCGAGATGGTGGTACTTAGAGTGTTGAATAGATGGACGAACGGACACATGGACAGATGCATGGATGGACGCATGAACGGACGCAGGGGCGGCTGCATGGACGAACGCAGGGACGGACGCACGAATAGACGCACGCACGGACGGGCTGATGGACGCATGGACGGTCACACTGACGGACGCATGAACGGACGGAAGCAAGAACGAATGGACGGACGAATTCTTCACCCAACTCTCCATCATTCACTCCGTGGATATGCTGCCAATTTTCTTGAAAAACGAAGCGCGCGGCTCTGAGACGGGTGTGCGCGCCCGTTTCAGAGGTGATAAGTTGTAGAACGCAAGGCAACCGGTAGGGGCCACCACCGTCTCGTCTTAGCAAAGCGTTAGAAACACTCGCCTTTTCGTGCGAGCGTTGGTAGGTCAGCGCAGCGAGATAAGCGCTACGGTCCTTAAAATTACTTATGTATGCTTTTTCTAGTAAAAGATGCACATCCAGAATATACGTGTTGTTATGGTGCCCCAGACATGCACAATATTTGCTTTTCAATTGACAACTGCAAAAGTATGAACGCTAAATCTTGAGCAACTTTAGTGGGCGCTGCGGATGGGGTCGGCAGTTTCAAGTACCCGGTGCCGTTAAGAGCTGGACAAACAGGCAAATGTACAGACAGACATACCAAAATTTTTGCGTTGAAGGTCCCCAAGAAAGACTATCATCTTAAAAGAAAAACACACTCTGACGCGCTGCAACGCGTGCCACGTACGTGTGGTCAGGCCCTTCACGTGCGATTAGCACTGCACTCGCTTGGTGGCGCGCTGGTACAGTGTACTAGATGACTTCTAGTACACTCTAGCGCTGGTCTCCTACGCATGCTCCGCATGGCGGCACTCACTCAGCGCCCTCCTCGCATTCATCCATGCCAATCATCCATGCCATGTCAGTTGCCGCTCTGACAGTGGTAGACACTTCAGCCGCACTTAGCCTTTTCCTTACTTACGTGGGTAGGATGTTTTTCAGAAGCAGTTTGAAGCCCTGGTGTTTCTCAGTAGTAGAATACTCCAGTGCAATGCAGGAGGCCCGGGCTTTTTGCAGAAGAAGGGGTTGTTATTATTTGCTTTCTGTAGAATGTTTTTCGTCAACAACGCCGCCGACGTTGGCGCCTCATGCTTTGCAACACTGGATCGTCAGATTGTTGAATACGTTGTTTTGAAATCTCATGTCTTAACTGCTATATAGGCTGTATTGCGTTGTTATAATTGTATACTGTATGTGCAGTGGCCTTGTCATGCATGGAGACCTGAACCTTACGTGCTCTAAGTTAGATAGCTCTAAAAGATAACAGGCAGCCAGCATTTAATTTGTGTGCCAGTACCTCATTGCTTAGCATCAACAAAAAAGTTAGGATTTCCAAAAATATAATTGACAGGTGCTGTGAATCATTTGTGGAGCATACCTGAATACCACTAGCCACGGTGGGCGGTTATGTGAACCAAGTCACTGGCGGTAATTATGTCGTGACGTACGCTACTTGGAAGTCACGTTATTTACGTCGTGACCTGCGAATCGTGTTTTTCATACAGTTTCAGTCACAGTAGCGCAACGCCATTTGTGAAGCCGCTAAGATATCTGTATGGCTGGTGAACGTCCATCTTGCTTTATCACAAGTGATATGAGAACGTAAATTATACAGAGTATAAATAAAACATAACAGATAGTGGCATTAGTGATGGAATATTTCCCGACAGACACTGCGTCGTTTAAATCTTACTGTGATGGCTCGATTTCAAACAGTGTAAGCACTAGTGATGCACCAATGTGTAAAACACAGTGTCTGTGTTGCCCCGTTCTCTCTGTGATTCTTGCCGCAGGCTCCATCATTCACGTTGTTAGCTGCTGTTTTCCCACGAAAACCTAAATTGTGAGGAGCACCTCAATGCTAAAGTAGGTTTTTTAGAAAGCCAAGACTTATTATACACACGCCAATCCACATAATCCTCCGTCACAAACAAAACAACTAAGGTCGGGTGCTGGTGACGTCATGTGCATGTATGAACACTTTTTTTCCAGAGCACATACATTATTTGACGTTCAAAAGTTGCTATATATGTTGTTATTGTAGATGGACTCACTCGTCGCTGATCTGAAGGTTGCCTTTAGCGCCCTCCTCCAGCAAAACGACTGGATGGATGATTACACCAAGGAGCAGGCTGCCAACAAGGTACCACTTTTACTACTTCTTTAATATTTCATGTCTATAGCTAGCTGAAGCACTTATTGCTGTGATGTGTTTTCGTATGTTTTCTAACATTATAATGTAGTTTGGAATGCCTGAACGAATGTGTGCTAATTACTTCGAAAACATTGCACCATTTTTCTGTTGATGCTAAAGACTTGTGCACATGAACAGTACTGTGATCTATATTTTTGGACATTGGTTAAAACATCTAGCTGATCCAATGTTCTGCTAATTTTGCATAAATTACAACCGAAGACAAGAAAAAACCGGCAGATCCCACGTACAGTGGTTGGATGTGTCGTTTATCTTCGTCATATATTCACGTCACGTGATACCAAATTTAGTATATGTGGAGCTAGCGAAACGACCACGAGCGCTCCTATGAGCGTGGTATGTTGTCATGTTCTTACATGACATGCATGGCAGGATTATTATGTTGGACCCAGTCATACAATTTCGTCATTCATTGATGTCACTTAACACCAAGTTTGGCATATACATGTGGAGCTAGCAAAACAGCCGCGAGCGCATCATGAAGGGCCCAATATATATATATATATATATATATATATATATATATATATATATATATATATATATATATATATATATATATATATATATATATATATATATGCGCTGTTTTGCTAACAGCGATGCTACGTTAGCAAAACGCGAGCACTCTGTAGTCTCACGCCAGGCGTAGACGGTGCGACCAGCGTCCGTCGGCGCGGCCCGACGGCAAACGACGCGAAATGCGACATGCTGCATTTCGCACCGATGCGTTACCCAGACAACACCACGTCTTTCTCTTCCATGACTGAGGGACGCCGGACGCGCTGAAACGCGCATGTGTTAAAGCAACGCAGCGTACGTGGCGCACGCCTGCGACTATATGGCAGGACCGGCGCTTGGCGTCGCAACGCCGGCGTGCCACGTCAAAATGCACTACGGCGAGCACGCGCACCGCGTCACGTCGAAATGTATTGGCGCCTTGACTGTGGCATGTAGTCATGTTCCCACATGACACCCATCTCATGATTATCATGTTTGCACCAGCCACATACCTTCGTCATCTATTAATGTCACGTAATACCAAATTCGGAATGTGCGAAGCTAGCGAAACGACCGCGAGTGCATCATGAGTGAGGCATGTAGTCATGTTGTTACATTACACGCATGTCGTGATTATCATGTTTGAACCAGTATCATACTTTCGTCACTCATTCACTTCCCGTAATACCAAATTTGCTCTAAGTGAAGCTAGCGAAACGGCCGCCAGCGCATCATTAGCGTGGCATGTAGTCATGTTGTTACATGAAACGCATGTCATGATTTCCGTGTTAGGGTTTGTCGCTTGAGTTCGTCATGCAATCGTGCCATATTATACCAGTTTCGCAACATGTCATGGGAACGAAACCACCGCAAGAACTGCAGGACCATGAAATGTAAATCATGACATTCATGGCATACATTTCACGATTTTCATGTTATGACTAGTCAAATATGTTCTTCATACAGTCATGTTATGCCATACCAAGTTTGGTATTGATACCATTATCGAAAAGACTAGGAGAACTAAAAGTCGTAGGCGACTAGATAGATAGATATAGATAGATATAGATATAGATATAGATAGATATAGGTATAGATAGATATACGCTCAAAGCCGCCGAAGTTCGCTAAAAAATGCTTCGGATTTAAAGAAATTACATCATCTTCCACCCAACGAAAACATGCATGCGTAAGATGCATAGACTGAGCGCGTGCGTGGCTTCGGGAAGCTACATGCCCCCTCTCTTTGTAAGGAGAGGGCACGACTCCGCGCAAAAAAATTCCCGCACTGACCCGCTACAACCACTGCGTGTTGTCACTCCTTTCTGGCAGCGGCGTTGGCACTGCCGCTCATTGCGGCGTTGCGCAGGAGGGAAACCTGGGCAGGCGCAAAGCACGCCGTTACGGAATGGTGTTTTCTACTCGAATATGAGCCCAATCGGAATCTTCTGTCTCTAATTGCCTATTAGCAGCGATTGGCAGAGACCCCCACTCCGCTTTTAGTAAATGCGCACGCTGTAAATTCTTACTGTTCAACAACGCACATGAAAAATCTCCCACCGGCACTACCTTGGATGTCAAATTCAGTGCCTATATATACGGGGTGTACAGTTAACGGTTGTTGAGCGCGAGCAGTCCATTTATGTTAATCAGACGTTGCTTGCGTTTTCAGGTTAGAGAGAGGGAGGGGGTCATGCATGCGTAATGAGGGCGCAAACGCTGCGGAGAAGGATGTCTAGAAGAGAGAGGGGGGAGTGAGCGGAGACAAGCAGACGCTGCCGGCGCTGCGAGGTGAGAGAGGAGGCGGAGTAGGAGAGAGGGTGCATGCGCAGTACGGGTGATCACGCCATACACCGGATTGAGCTCGACTGTAAGACGCTTCGCATCTAGCAAATGAAACGCCTGCGTCTGGCGAATGTTTGAGTGATAGCGCACAAAACCATGCAACATAAACTGCAAGCAACATTTTATCTGTTGCAGTGCTGCCGCACGCCTTGCGTTATAGATAAAGCACGCTTTTGCTTCCATAATCCCTGCTTTTGTATCTATTTTCAGCTTAATGCTATAGTGGACAACATTGGCTACCCGTATTGGCTGAAAAACAACACGCACCTGAACAGCCGCTACGACATTGTGAGTATACTTCGTTTTAGAATGGTTGTCTTAGTCTTGTACTTCCCGCCCGCTATATGAACGTGAATGAAAAGGTTGTGTGAATGACAATAAATGTTCATCATTAAAAGCCGGAGTGATTACGATGTACCGTCTGTTACGGCTCCAGAGCTGCAAGCCTGTATGTTCACATTAAAGGGGCTCCACAACACTATTTGAGCATGGTCACAAATCGTTGCCCATTGGTAGTCGAAGCTTCCGAGAACATGTGGACCCAATAATATTATAGCACAGCACGTGGCGAGGGGTTCCAGTTTCTAGTTTCTATACAAATGATGCGACACACTCTGCAATCGCTGTGTCACTAGTCCTAGTAACATCATTTGCTGATTTGAGCATGGCGTGCTCGGGAGTTACTGGGGCCCCCTTAGGTGGCCGTGACCTATCCGCGCGTGCTCACGTGATTTGGAAGGGGAAAAAAAAGAGAGAAGCACTCAAGGTCAAAAGGGGTGCGTGACGTATTTTGTTCACCCGTGACATCCGCCGCTGCTCGGCTTTTGTCGGAACGAGAAGAGAAAGTAATTGCAGCATGCGACAAATCTTTGTAACACCGCTCGTCTGGACCATTTCTAAAACTGTTTGCGCTGGTTAATTCATCAGGCGATCAGCTACTTTACTGAATTCGTACCGTGGCTACGTGGAAGAGTGTGTCAGAGCAGTTTTAAGACAAGGTGCCTTTGACTTTATTTTTTTTTTGCGATTTCTGACTTGCCACGCGTATACGACTCTGTTTAAAGACGGGCACAAAATGTCTTTGAAGACCATTATTATACTCTCTTCAGAGAGTTGTAGGATCTCAGAGAGAGCTAAAGAGAGTTACTCCTTTTTTTCTAGAGACATTCAAATGAGTATTGGACTCTAAAGAGGCACGTTATGCCTCTTTGGACGTCATTATACTCTTCGGATAGTCATGGGGCACTAGAGAGAGAGAGAGAGTCAACTCGTTTCTTTAAAGAGTCCTATGAATATGGGATTCCGTAAAGAAACACGTGAACTCTATTTGGACGTCATTATACTTTTTCGGAACGCTGTGGTAGCCTAGAGAGAGAGGGAAAGAGAAAGAGTTAACTCTTTTCTTTAATTTTAGATTCGTACACGTGCCAACTAGGGACTTTCAAAAAAAATTATTGCACATTCCTTACTCTTTTCTCGCTGTGCACGCTGTTTCAATATCCGGGATTGTAATTGAATTTTAGGTTGTGTCTCCGTGTATCCTCTACAAAGGTGATAAACCATGGCTCAAAATTAGCACGTACACGAGTCGGATATGATTCGACGCTAAACGGGCGTGCCGGCACGTCACAATATCACCACGAAAATGCCTTTATAGTATTGCCATAAACTTTAGCTCATATCGTATCAGTCTTACGGTATGTTTTTTCGTTGATAACGCTTCCCTCGAAGGTCACTGCAAAAACGTAATACAACAATCGCTGGGAAAAAATGCGCACAAGTGTATGTAGGACAAGCCTTTGTGGGAACATGTAAGCTCCATCGACCTCCGTCTCTATCAGCAGTTGTTTACTGAAAGCTCTTGTGCTTCTAGAAAAACTTTTATATTACACATTGACTTCAATGATTGGGCCGAGAAAGCTTTATTTCGAACCACCACGTTCCATGAACATACCCCCTGTTTATTAGGGAAATTTAGTGGGTCTCTCAAATACTTAGTTGTTCTGCTTTCTTCTGGGGCCTTTGAGAGTCAATTGGAGCTCTTTGAAACGCGTCTTTCGTATAGTGTATTTACAGTATTCACATGCGAACGTTACTTCAAATGAAAGTGGGTCTTTTCTTGTGAATAGCGCTCTGTTTCCTATGTTTATTTTAGATAAAGCCAATCAAGCCAGGAACACCTTTCCTGAACGTCTACTTGAATGTGCGGTACAATGGTATGGTCAAGAGACTTGAGAAACTCCGGACCACATTCAACAGGAGCGAGGAGTAAGCTACACTTTATGTGTACTATCTTCATTACCTAAGTGACGTGGTCTTTCATGATGGGTTTCATGACGCGATAATGAAAGGCTCCCGTTCCATTAGAATTGTTTACCGGATGAACAAACAATGAGCAAACCCTTATGAATAGTATTTTATAGATCGTACTCTTGTATTACTGCAGAACACCGGGTACATGCAACCAAAAAAGTTTGTATCCTTAAAACTCGTACATTAGAGCATTATTACCATGACATGTTGATAGCACATTGGACAATATAACGGCCAAAGATCGCGGATGATGTTACTTTGAGTGTTCGTATTGTTTTTAAAGTCATCATTTTATTGGGGTAACATTCCGAAAGAACATCAACGAGATTTAGCAGCGGAATAATCGGCATTACGAAGAGGTACACGATTCCGGTGCAATCCTGGGCAGGTACATGACTGGTTGGCCGCATAAAAAAAAACACATTTTTAATTTTCCGCGGGGTGCAGCCTTCAAGACACGCCCTGTCCCAGGACTGCGACTTTAACTAATGGACTTTGAATGACTTGTTCCTATTTTAAGACGTCAGAGCCTGAAAGCGTACCCTTTGAATGATGGAACCGAACCTGTGGTCCTTCTGCGTGGTACAAGGCTATCATATATTCAGCGACAATGGTGAAGTTTCGTGAAAAAATTGAATTGCTGCACAAACTTGAAGAAAAAAACAAGAGAGACAGGAAAGAGCGCAGACTACCAACTGTTTATTGTCGTTTTTGGAAGCCAATATATACGCATGCTATGCTGCGCTTCCACGATGCGCACAAAACCAAAGATGCCACAAACAAAGCCGACCGAAAACAAATCAAACCAAAATTGACTGCCACCACAATGACAAAAGTGAAAAATGGCAAAATACAAAAGTGATACCCATCACAATCTAAACTGCGTAATCCCAAGGTGTGCGCTCATCTGTTTTTATTTATCTTTTATTATTTATTGCACCAAGCATCAACAAAGGCATAAAAGAATGAAAACGTACTCTAGACATTTTTGTTTAAAAACCCTAAAAATAGCGCTCAGCACCAAATAAAACAATAAATTAACATTTTATATGCAAATACAAGGGCATGGGTCCAAGCGTCGATGGAAGGGAAAGGAGGCCTATTAATGTTATGCCTTACTTACATGGCGTTTCCCATAATGTAAAAAAGGTGGCTAATAGGTATGGTGTGGATGTACTGTTTTCAGCGGCTACAAAGTTACGACAGATCTGCTCGTTGATGACTAAACAGAAGAAGGCAAAATGCACAAAAAAGCATGCGAACGTGTTCATTAGGTGTGTATTTGCTGTTGTATATGAGATCCCTTTGTCGTGTGGGAGGGTGTACATAGGGCAGACGGGGCGTTGCCTCAACGAACGCTTGCGTGAGCACAGTCTGGCCGTAAAAGGAAAAAATGGAGGTCATTTAGATTTCCACTGTAGGAAATGCGGTTGCACCCCCCGGTTCGAGAATGCGTCAGTCATGGCTAAGGCACGTGAAAAGACCGAAAGAGAGATAACAGAAGCGTACTTTATCAGGCAATATAATGACAAGTGCATAAGCATGCCTTCAATTTCACTTTCGGACAGGGAAATGGTCTTCCTACATGGTCATGTGTAATGTTGTCGCTAAAGCCTTGCAGTGTGTTCTCTTCTATTCCTCTTCTTTTGTTTCGTTCATTAGTGTTCATGTTTTATTTCCCATGTGACGCTACGTAATGTTTTTTAAGGTTTTATGTTAGTATAGTTTTTGACTCTCTCGGCGTACTGCTTCTTCGTGTTTCTAAAGTAGGGCTGCTTGGAGTGAATATAAAATGTTAATTTATTGTTTTATTTGGTGCTAAGCGCTATTTTTAGGGTTTTTAAACAAAAATGTCTAGAGTATGTTTTCATTCTTTTATGCCTTTTTTGATGCTTGGTGCAATAAATAATAAAAGCTAAATAAAAACAGATGAGCGCACACCTTGGGATTACGCAGTTTAGATTGTGATGGGTATCACTTTTGTATTTTGCCATTTTTCACTTTTGTCATTGTGGTGGCAGTCAATTTTGGTTTGATTTGTTTTCGGTCGGCTTTGTTTGTGGCATCTTTGGTTTTGTGCGCATCGTGGAAGCGCAGCATAGCATGCGTATATATTGACTTCCAAAAACGACAATAAACAGTTGGTAGTCTGCGCTCTTTCCTGTCTTTCTTGTTTTTTTCTTCAAGTTTGTGCAGCAATTCAATTTGTTCAAGTATGAACCAACTAGTCTGCAAAAAGTAGTGAAGTTTCGGTTATCCCACCAGACATCATCGACAGCTGCGAAACTTGCTGCTCTACGTAGCGCAATTCAAGTCATTAAACAGCAAGAAGCCAATAAATAGAGCGTGTTCACGAACTCTAAGGCAGCACTACAGTGTTTGATATTCGCCTAACGCCGGGGACCTCATAAACAACTATATAGTGCTGGAAATTGGAGAGCTGCTTCACTACCTCTTCGACGAAGGACACAGAATCACGTTTCAGTGGCTTCCAAGTCACTGCGGCATATTGGGCAACGAACATGCCAATGCAGCTGCTCGATCAGCACACGAAGATGGTGAAGAAGAATCTATACTATTTTCAAGGACTGATGCTGCAATGACAATCCGAAAAATTGCTAACGCAGAATTAAATTCCCTGTGGAACGCCGAGTGCTTACGGCACACGTGACTGCATAGACTGGACACGTATCGTAGACTCCGGCCTCCGTCTGGACTCTCTCGACTCGAGACAACGGTGCTTTGCCGACTATGGCTTGGTGTCGCCTTCACCAAAGCTTTTGCCTTCCGAATCGGCATGGAAGACAGTGCTGCTTGCGGTCATTGCGGCAGCGATGAAACTATAGAGCACGTTTTCTGTCACTGCCCTCGTTACAGCGCGCAAAGACGGCAACTAGCTGCTGCGTTAGCTCGCCTTGACGACAGACCTTTGTCTGAACAATCAGTGCTGGAAAGACGACATGATTTGTGTGCTCACAGAAAATCAGTGAAGGCCTTACTGAACTCTTTGCGTGGCAGTGGCCTATTGTATAAACTGTAGCACCCCAGCCCCCCCCCCCCTTTTTTTTTTGCGCGCGTCTATTTCCCTTTTCGCTTTCTTTCCCATCTTTCTTCTCCATTCCCCCTTCCCCCAGTGCAGGGTAGCAAAGCGGATGCTCCATTTTCTGGTTAACCTCCCTGCCTTTCCCTCATTTTATTCTCTCTCTCTACGCTACCGTGGCGGGTGAGATATTTGGGAAGCTTTGTGTAGTAGCCTTGTTGGCTGCCTTTTAAGCAAACATTCAACATGCACATGAGATCTTCGAAGGCGAAATGCTGACACTTGAGGAATCTTTAAAAATACCCGTCATGGTGGTTCGGCGCTTATGGTGCTCGAATGCTTATCCGAAAATGGCGTGATCAAATCCCGGCCGAACTTGGGTGGAAGCGAAGCGCTGAAGGGCCGTGTACTCTGGTATGTTTTCAATTGCACCTAAATCTGACTTGAGAAATTTCTGGAACCCGGCGCTACCGCGTTCCTCGTTATCATATCGTTTTATTGAGAAGTAAAATCCAAGAAATTATCGTTGGTATTGTTTAAAGACCACCACGCCTATTGATATCGTGGATCATGAAGAAACCGACATAACCTTGCATTATTCAACCGGAGCATGCCACGGCTACATACATGACAATATCACTGTTTCTAATAAAGTGATGTTCGCTGAAATTCACTCAAACCATAGACAAATTTAAGAATCAAATCATCAAGCAGGTAAGCAACCAATCTACCAAACGTTGTCTTCTCTTACAGATACGTTGGATCTGCAGTCGTCAATGCCTTCTACAATCGTGTGGCCAATTCTATTGGTGAGTACTTAAACTATAGCACAGTAATAGATTACCAACCACGTAATGAGCTATTGAAGCACGAAGCGTTGTTATTGCGGTTGGGGAAAAACACTATGCAAATAGTAATGTTTTTGCTGGTATACAGCAGGGAATAGTTGAATAGTGAAACAAATGTGCATCTCGCACTGTTGAACAGTAATCATTAATCACGCGCTCAGTTTTATGTTAGCTTCACGTATGCACTTGAGGCTAACGGGCCTCGGTGATGTTGCAATTTAAAAAAAATGCCCCGTGGGTTATAAAGCACAATAATTATACATCAAAAAGACATTAATAGTAATAGGTTTCCAGCGCAGTAATGTCAACTTGGAAGACCAGCTCAAGATCAAGTAGCTTACGCTGTACTCCACAGTCGTTGCCACAGAGTAGTCTTTTCCATCACAGGCAAGACAAAAATATAATCGGGAATAAATAATAGTAATAAAAACAGCAAGAAACCTACTCACTTATTGAGCTTCAGTTATGTGTCGCTAATATGCTCATCACGCGATAATCGTTTTATATTTAATTATAGTGATTTTTCTTTTTTTTTTATCTCAGCATTTCCAGCGGGAATTCTCCAAAGTCCGTTCTATGGCTATGGCCTGCCTCCGTAAGTGCACCTAATTTGGCTGTTTTCATGCGTGACACATACTTACAGATACATGCAGTTGGTAAGGATTCCTAGCTGCAAACCAAGAACGGCATTTTATAACAAGAATGTAGGCATGACTTATAGGCTTTCTTTACTGTCTACATTTGACAGGTGCTAGATTATTCGCCTGCCTAATCTATCAACTAACCTATTAGCTAATTCATCTGTTTTTGTAAAGTATACATGTGGTCAATAATATGCCGGAAGGATCTCGGAACATTCTTAAGGATTATGGCAACGCCTTCTCCTTTTTTTTTTACACTTACACTATTGAAGTAAGAGGGAAATAGAAGTAAATACAAATAAATACAAATTTTACAATACATTCAATGGAAGGGCATGAAGACATTTTTATTCCGGTTATTCACATAGGTTGTGTAAGTACACGTAGAGAGAGAGAGAAATACAGAGGAAAGGCAAAAAGGTTAACCAAGCTTTGTCTCGGTTGGCTACCCTGCATTTGGGGCGGGGGAAAGGGGAATGATAGAAAGGAAAGAGAAAAAGAAGAGTAAGAAAGATGGATAAGCACTCAGTCAAGTGTATATATATATATAGTCCATTTAGCCCAGTTTGCTACCCTATATGTGGAAAGAGGGTAATAAGAGAGTAAAGGAGAATAGAGGCACATTGGACACCACATACACAGTGCAGGGTTTCACAGGTGCTCGCTCAGTGATGTACGCTGCCTTCAAGAATTGTTGAAGGGCTCATGTGGCTTTTTATATTGACGCACTTGAAACGTGAAAAAGTTGCTTATGTTAATAATGTGGATAATCTTCAAGCAAGTATGAAATAACTATTTTTGCAATTAGCGATTCACCAAAAAACACTTGCCACCAATTACTTATAGAGAAGTGTTAAGTGCAATTAAAGAATTTGGTGAATAAATTGGGGGCGAGGGGGCGATTTTCTGTACCAAATTATTTGCCCGCGCATGGACACAGCAGAGAACGCGCAAATGTCTTGGACGCAAAATTTTTAACCATTACTTTCCCTCTGCGTGTGTGCTAACTTCCGTGTATTGCCTTTCAGCTCCGTAAACATGGGAGCGATTGGCTCTATCATCGGCCATGAAATCACTCATGGTTTTGACGACGCAGGTGAGCGTTGTCTTCATTTTTTTTCATGCTCACTGTTTTTCTCGTTCATCCCAGTGGCAGAATTACGAACACAGCAGTGAAGCTGTAATTACACTACTAAAGCTGCGAAGGTGCATTAGAATATCAAGCCTTACTTGCATGTCTCGGCAGTAAGTGCCACCCACCACGGTGGTCTAGTGGTTACTGGGGCTTGAGTGCCGACTCAAAGGTCGCACGATTTGAATCTTGGTCGCGTCAGCCACATTTCGATAAAGACAGATAATTCTAGAAGATTGTGTGGTTAGATTTCAGTTGCTCTTAAACAACCGTGGGGGGTGTACGTCTCTGTCGCCCTTCACTACTGCTTCTCTCCTATTTTATGTCGAGGTTTTTAGTACGTATACAACCTGAACACTGTACAACTTGATGTGTTCCGTTCGTAGGAAAGAATTGGCGCTACGCTTGATGAAAAGCGTGAGACAGAGGCGCCAAGTACACCCTAAATTGTGTTGAGTCTGCATACGTCGTTTCAGCTTGGACTATTCATAATTTGTTTGTACCATATTCTTAAGTCGCCACCACGAACAAAACAAGCTGAAAGATATTTGACTTGAATTTCGTATGCAACATTACTAGCTTTTCAACTACTTTTTGTCACCATTGCCAATCTGCTGTTAAGAATTATTATGATGAGAAGACTCAGTGCTCGAAACCGAAACTCATGTGCAGGCTCGATACACTAGAAGCTCGTGTCTGTTTTCCAATTTGCCTAAAAAGCTCGCAGAAGTAACACAACGGGACTTTCTCTTTCGGAATAGGTGTCTATATTTCACGATGTACCTACGCATGCTCCAGTCGAAACATGTTATATTTACTGCATTCGGATCACATCACTCGTCTTACTTCTCTTCGTAGTTACCTGAAGTTTTTTTGTCAGAGAGTTTCATATAACGCACTTTAACAAATGGGTCCGTCACTTCTGGTTCACCAATGAGTACAAGCATTACACGCTGGCCCCTGTGAATTCAGTCGGGACCTTCTAGCATGCTTACATTTCATAGGAGGTCCCATTTCAGTGTACACTACGGGACCTCCTTCTGTATATTCTTTTTTTTGTGCATCTTATTATAAAATAATAAAACTTGATAATATTGGATTTGATTTGAACGTGTACAATAACGCACGTGGTAAACATCAGCCGCATTTAAAGTAAACCAGGTAAGAAGCTGAATGGGTGAATATGAAATACCGGCTGTCATTCTATTCGCAGAACACTTGGTGATTCCTTCATCAGTTTTCCATCGAACTCTTCTCACTCAGAATTTCTTCCTGTCGCGTGCCTTGTGATGATGCAGGCAGCCAGTTCGACTTCGAAGGCAACCTCCGAAACTGGTGGACGCACGACACCAGAAACAAGTTCCTCGAACGCGCCAAGTGCTTCATCGACCAGTACGGCACCATCGTCGATCCCCAAGCAGACATGAACGTACGTCTCAATTTGAATATTTAGTGTACTTTTCGCAGGCTCTAAAAAGAATCAAGTGCGTGCACGTCCTTCATTGCTAACACGTACGCGCTTAAACTCCCCCAAAACATGGTAAAAGCAGTGCGAGCACACGTTAACACGAGATGGGCGGCACAGGACAGGACCTAGTGTCCTTCCTATGTCGTTCTAGTCCTTTCTACGCCGTTCGTGAGTCTTTTCTACGTCATCCATCATTTGTCGCTGCTCTGTCCTTTATATGACATTACTGAGTTCTTCCTATACAGTTCCTGGGTCATTCCCAAGTCATTCGTATTTATATGGCAATCTTATTCGTTCCTGTGTCCTATGACAAGATCTGTCACCTCTGTCATTCTTCGAATCATGTCGCTGTGCTTTCGCACTGCTTTCGCCATGATGGATCAACTAACCAGCACAGTTTGTCTTGCCATTGCCTCAGCAATGAACGCTTCTATCCTGAAATGAGCTGCATGACAAAAAAAGCATATGTATTGCAGACTACATGTATATCTTAGTATGTAATATATATCTTGTACACCACGTCAGAAGCACCATTAATACTATTTACACTGTATAATGAATGAACATTCAGAATAAATCTGTTATGTGTATAGAAAGTCTTTAATCATTTAGAGTACATGGTACTCTGGTACCAATGTAATAGTTCATTTGGCACTCAGTAGTATTCCTGAAACTCTGCGTTAATTATAAAAGGTTAACAGTGTCAGCCTCGTAAATCATGCGGACTTGTCTACTCTCAAATAACGTAATAGAAAACGATTACTTTCGTGTGGCTACTCCGTAAACAGCCAAGTACAGGGACTATTACTGCGCTAACGTTCGTTATCGAAAGCATTTTCGCTTGCGTTATTTGAGCGTGGCGCACTGCTTAGTCCAGAGAGTTTCGCATTTGTGCTTGCCTTCTCGGTGAATGAACCAATGACTCGGATTATAGTCTACAGTAAATAATTACGGCTGTTATTTTTTTGCTGTAATGAGTATTCTAATGATTAACTTTTGTGCACTCTTAAATCAGTATTTTATTGGATTGCTTTAAGTATGTAATTTCGTAAAACAAGCTGCTCATTACTTCCTCAGCTATTCTCAATAAAGTATAGCATGCCCCTTCCCTTGTGGCTTAAGAAAATTCACCAACAAGTGGAAAGCAAAATAACTGTCAGCTTAATGTGAGTGCCGAACCCCAAGTGTGGCAGAACAAAGATGTATCTGAGCTTTATGTTTATATTTGCTGCACATAAAGTTCACACGAGCTGCGCGTGAGATTTGTTGAAGTATTTTCAAAGTAATTTCTTCACTTTTAAAACTAATAAGCGTCACGTCATTAATTTCAGCCAGCTGCAATTCCACATGTAACTTAATTCTACAAAAGTTTGAAAAAATTGTTAGTAACGTAGTTTAATTGTTTTAGGAGAAATTTTGTAATCTGCGGCTGACACCATGTGAAATAGTGTTATGAACAATGTCGTAAAAACAAATTGTAGTTTTATCTTTAACGATTTGCCTGAGGAACATTGAGGTTTATTGCTTATTTTCTTCTCCCTCAGCTTAATGGTATCAACACGCAAGGAGAAAACATCGCTGACAACGGTGGAATCCGGGAAGCATTCAGGGTAAGTGATCTCTCATGGAAAACCTGGCAATGAGCTCGGTGAATAAAAAATTTGATCAAGTAAAAACCACCAAAAATTTCGCGACAAACTGACTGAACGGTAACGAATTCGTTAAGCTTGATTAGTATAAAAGTCCTCAATATGGCATTCACTTATTCTATTGTAAAGCTACTTTGGCCTTCAATGCAATGAGCTCAAATATTGCGTGTTGTTGAAGTCAAATGTAGTTTTTCGCATTGTTAGCAGTCTCGTTTCTTTTTAATTATACCAGGCAGAACAAGTTAATGGCTAAAAAGTCGGTTGGTTATTAGTTCGTGAACATGCCGTCTGAAACGATGCATTCTGGGAACCACAGAAACAAAGAAGGTTGGCAAAGAGATTGTTGCCATTGTACTGTCATAATCGTAATTTGTCATGTCATAATTTGTCATAATCGACAAATTGAGTCACATCAAGTGTAAGGGTGATTACTCGTGTGAGTTTTGAAACCCACACATGAAACCGTGTCATTTAATAAATGAGGAAAAAACTGTGCATTTTATTCTATATATACTGCTTTAAAGAACATAATTTCTAAATGTGACAATTTCTATGTACTATCATAGCTGCTTACTTTTCTCTACTGGAGCGGTGATGGTTGGGACCTACGATGTTCCATCGTGGCCAAATCTATTGAATTTTTTTTCCATTGGAGAGAAATTCATTGGACAATTTCAGTAATACATTTAAACATTAAAAGCAGCGCAGAACTAACAGCAGAAACAAAGCATAACAAATAACACTCTGTCTGGTAATATTCCAATGCATTGTTCAGCGCTGTTGTCAACTTTTAAGCACCATCTAATATTTTTACCCCGCCGCAGTGTTCTATTGGCTAAGGTACTCGGCTGCAAGTCTCGCAGGTCGCGGGATCGAATCCCGGCTGCGGCGGCTGCATTTTCAATGGAGGGGAAAATTCTGTAGGCCTGTGTGCTCTGATTTGGGCGCACGTTAAGGAACCCCAGGTGGTCAAAATTTCCGGAGTCCTCCACTGCGGCGTCTCTCATAATCATAGGGGAGTTTTGGGACGTTACACCCCACATATGAATCAATGTCATATCATTATTATTATTTTTCTACACTTTTTTAACATGATAGCGTTAAAGAGATCGTTTAGCATAAATTCCGGCGTCGGCGGCGTTAGATGTGACTGAAAAATTGAGAAAGATGAAAATAAAGTAATAAGCAATTTCGATCAGTCATTACTTTCTATCCTGGCGCCGGTATACGTCATTGAAGAGAAGATTCATAGCACCACGTCTTCGAAACTTAGGTCTGGAAATATCCGAATCAGTTGTTATATCATTCGGCACCTCTATTCTTGGCTACAGCCACAGGGATGTTTACTACGCCATAAAGGAATTTATCAGTCAGACAAAAATAATATAGAGCTAAAGTCTTCATTCTTTTAAACGTTTGAATATTATTATTCAGTAATTATTTGTTGTGAAACCTACTCCTAGCATATATGAGTAGTATTGCGAAGAAAAAAAAAACAAATTCACTTACCACTGGGCCAATCTCCTGCATTGGGTAAGAGCCCTGAGATGAGAGGGAGAAGAAGAAGAAGAGTTTGAGTGGGGATCGAATCCGGGTCGTTTGCGGGGAAAGTGGGTGTTCTACTACACAGCCACGCCATCTGCTTGTGAATATAGTGAAAAAAAAAAAACTCGAACGGCAGTGAAAGTAACTATCATGATTTACAAACACGCACGTTATGCATACATGCTTCGAAATACATGAAATATTGCCCTAGCAAGGCGTGGTCATTGTCATCGGGCGTCAGAACATGTGGCTATCATAATGACGTCATAGCTTAAGCCCAGTCACCCACAACAAAAGGCACGCACATTACTGCGCCCTTAGGGCCACGTAGTGGGTACAGAGCAAGTTCGATACTATTTCATGCACTATGTTTGAAGAACGCACTAGGAACAGAATATCGCGTTCAACTCGTAGTATGTAACTAATCTTACGCTTTGACCTGCAAGGTGGTGCCAAGTATAACATTTTGACCTCCAAGGTGGTGCCGGTGAGAGATTTTTTCTGTGCGTTGTTTAACAATAAAAATAGTGCTCAATTTACATGCCAATGGCTGCTAATGGGGAATGAGCGACAGGAGCATTCGGCTTTTAGTCAACGCGCACGCTGCGATCCTCATTAGCAGCCATTGGCATGTACATTGAGTACTATCGGACAAAAAAGGGTTGCTACATTATACTCGCTGGGTGTAACCTCCTTAGTTTTATAAAGGTTTAGCGAGCGTTGAGCCGCAGGGCCATGAATACAGTGAACTAGTATATACCATGAACTCAAGGTGGTTGAAGGTGGGAAGTAGACCCGAAGCGCAAGCCGTAAGAAAGTGTGCGTGTGCCACCTCTCGTTTAGTCCTTGGAATGTGCACTGAATGGCGGTGGAATATATGATAAAAAGATGCGAGATGGTGGGACTTGGAGTGTTGAATAGATGGACGAAGGGACACACAGACACATGCATGGATGGACGCATGAACGGATGCAGGGGCGGATGCATGAACGAACGCAGGGACGGGTGCACGAACAGACGCATGGACGGTCACACAGACGGACGCATGGACGGACGAATGCTTCGCCCCACTATATGCTGCAAACTTTTTTTCTTTCTCTACTCTTTTTATTTCTTTTTCTTTGTTTCTCGTGTCTCTTTCTTTTTTGTACGTGTTTTCTTTCTCTTTATCTTAATATAATTTTTTATGGCTGCTTCCTACTTTCTTTTTCTTTTTCTTGCTCTCGCTGAGTTTCTTCCTATTTCTTTGTTTTTTCTCATTTTTCATTCCTTTTTATTTCTGTCCTGTTCTATTTTTTTTTTCTGCCTATTTCTAGCGTCTGTTTCCTTTCATCTATTTACATTACTTTTTTCATGCTTCTATGTTTTATGCCTTTATTCCCTTTATTTCTCTCTACTTTTAATTTTGTAATCATTTCTATCCTTTTCTCTCTTTATTTATGTTTCTCTTTTTCTCGGTCACGTATATTTGCCGAGCAGAGAGAGAGAGAGAGAGAGAGAGATAAATATAGAAGAAAGGCAGGTAGGTTAACCAAGCTTAACGCGGTTGGCCACCCTACACTTGGGGTGGGGGAAAGAGAGAGTTTTCATTCAACGCTCGAACCAGCTGTATTCTGCGTAGTGTCGTTTGCCGAATCCTGTGGCGTACACCCAGCTGAGGAGTTTTGTAAGAGCTTCACCGTTAAAGCACTGTCCAAATGCACTGTTCAAAAGCAGATGGGTTGTCGTGTTTTACATTTCTTTGTAATGCTATTGGGACATAACAAGATATGTAATGCTATTGGGACATAGCAAGATAGAAATGAAATCAAATTTACTAATATAGATTATTTTTGCTTATAAAAAAAAGGAGAAACCCCATGTTAGTATCTCCTCGCTATCAATTACGCCACCTAACAAAAACACCACCACTCATGCGAACAAACTGACGTGATGACCTATAATATGAAATGCCCCGTCTATTAAACATTCTGAGGAGTGGCATCGGCTTTTGCGCACCCTGCTTCAAACATTGTGTAAAAAGCCTTCTTTCACAATCTATGATAACTTATCAATAACATTTTAACTATACCGTTTATGTTTTTTTAAATCCCCAGTTTATGTCATAGTTTTAAGCTTCGTAATTTAATGCATAGAGGAACATAATCTTGAAATATTTGAATGATGCTGTTTGTTTTCGTGAAGTATTTTGCATGATGTTCCTTTTTATGAAGGGTCTTGTATATATTTTTTTCTTATTCGTGAAGTGTTTGCTTATGTTTCCATGAAGTGCTTGTATGATGTGAATCTGTATTGATTTGTTTGCATTTTAAATTAGGTATACATGCAGATTCTCTATTCTCTAGATGCTCTATTCCTGCACGGGCATCAAACAATATGCATGCATGCCGAGCATGAAAAGGAGTAAGAGCCTGTGTGAGGTCACGTGGCCTTTAGCTCTTGCTCCTCCATCTGTAAAAAAAAATATTTTATTAATAATCTTCAAACTTAATAAACTATCCTCTCCTTTTTTTCTCATTATTTACACGTTTGGTGTTATCTCTGGCAGGCATACCGAATCAGCCTAGCGAAGCTGGGAAAGCCGAATGGTATTGCCCTGCCCGGACTCCAGCATTTCACCAGCGATCAGATCTTTTTCATCTCCACAGCAACGGTAAGAAAGTTGAGCTTAGAGCGACAGGTACCTTACATAACATCACCACCTACATCCATGCATACACTTCTACGGTATTCATCGTAAACATATCGTAATTTCGGGATATAAGAGTATGCTGATTATCGTTGCATGCGTGTTTACGCGTATTGAATGCATCTCGGGGTGTTACGTATCTGAAATCACATTTGACAAGCCCTGTGAAGTTGTAGGCCACCTCCAACGTCTGAGTGCATAGAAGTGGTTCGCCTTGTGTTCAATAAGTTTATCTGCAGCTTGGCACACACACAAAGTGACACGCTGCATTGTTCAAAGTTTCTCCTTCTGAATGTTTTCGAACTTTTCTTGTAGAGGAAAAACTTTGGTTTCGGTTAAGATGGTACCAATATGTCCTAACTTCTAGCTTGATTTAATATAAAATCGCATTCCCATTTAAACTGTTCTTTATTTTTTGCAGCATCCACGGGTGATGTTTATTGATTCATATTACGTCGCAGGAGCTTCAGCTCCGCAGCCTACTTTTTTTTTTACAGAGAAAGCTGTTTATATGATCAATTTTCAGGTCACGCACAGTTGTTGTCCGCCGCCACCGCTGGTGTCCGTAACCACATCGCGCGAAATTAGAAAAAAAAAATCCTTGCACCAATTAAACAGTGGGGCTTGAACCCGGTACGCTGCGTGCCAGCCCAATATTTTACCACTGAGTTACGCTGGTGCTTATAACTTGTGAAACTTGTCTTAGGCAGGCATGACCTAGCCCCAATGGCACAGTGTGGCTCGACCCCGGGTCCGATGGGTGCCAGCCCAGTGTTCTACGACTACACCGGGGCTTGTGACTTGTTGTCAAACTTGCCTTAGGCAGGCTTGATGTTGGGAAATCAATCGCGGTAATACGACTTATAAAGCATTTTACAACAGCGTAAGAACAATCAGTCGTCGCACAATGCGAATAGCGTAACGACTGGGCCGCCCGATGCTCCAAACCATCACAAAAGTTTGTCCTTGTTCCCCTATCAACTGTGGCGCATACCCACTTCAGCCATAATTTCTCATCGTCGTCAGCCACTGCATGGACAATTGGCACAAGATTCCTTGCAAGTGTTTAGCGGATACCAAGCTTCTCAGAAGAATGACGAAAAATAGCATACCGAATGTCAGCCTACTACCCAAAAGTTTATTATTATAGCCCTAGTGGGTGCCAAGCAAGTGTGCTTGCAGTAGTTACGCAATGAGTGTTTTTAAAAAGCTCTGAAAGGCCGCTCTTCTAGCTTTCGCTGTGACTGTGCTGCGCCTATCGCGCAAGCCTGGCGTTTTTTATATCAACCAAACTTTTCCTTAGTGATATCACAATATACACAGTTGCTCAAGAAAACACGGGTGATTGTTGCGCGGCGCAACCGTCTCACGTCATACTACTAAAGCGTGTAAATTTATTTGAAATTTCCTATTTCTTCGGTTTATTCATTTTCTTCCTTTGTCTTTGCAGGCATGGTGCACTAATATGAGAACTCAGGAACTGAAAAACGACATTCAGTACGACACGCACAGTCCATCAAAATACAGGTAATTTAATCGTGCACGATAACGGTGCACTTGCTCCTCCTGTTTATATATACAGCCCGCCGGGATGACACAGTTACGGCAGCTGTGGTTATGGTGCTCAGCTGCCAATGGTCGCGGGTTCGATTTCGGCCGGGGCCATCACATTTCCATGGAGGCAAAAAACTACAGATCCGTACGGTGCAGTAACGCCAGATGGTCAAAATTTAAGAAGCCTTTCCCTGACATATCCGGTTTGGGCACGTAAAAATTCAATTAGTATAATCTTGATATGCATTCGAGTTACGTTTTATGCCAGAACTGTTTGAATTTGACATACAAAGTGATTTCTTCGCGCGCTGATGCTCAAGACGAAATCGCAAAATGCACTGACAGGAGCTATCGTTATTGGGAAACAAAACAACACGAATTCTTACGTTTCACGACGCAGAAGCATGATTTAGGGCGTGTCATGTGAGGACGTAGCGCATTAATGTTTGACCCCTTGGGCACTTCAAACGTGTACCTAGGCAAGTGCGCCCAGGGTTCCTGCGTGTATTCTGCATCTAGATGCTGTCGCTGTGGCCAGGATAACGAACCAGCACCCATTTGCTTGTGGTGTGTTTTGACGCGCTACCGTTCAATGCTTCGTTTTGCCGAAATTCCGGCGTCGGCGTCGGCGTCGTTGGTTGTAAGTGAAAAATCATCTTATGCGTGACCAAAAAATTTGGAATGATGCAAAATAAAATAATAAAAAGTCCTTTGTCCGAGTGGGGATGGAACCGGGGTCATTGCATAAAACCATCACTAGTGAAGCAGGCACAACATACTTCATCAGAAGTCAGGTAAATACACACTAGCGTCAAGAAGGGGAAGTTACTCCGGAACGGGATCGAAAGTCTCAACATCACTGTGCACTTGAGCAGCTGCTTCTGGGAAGACGGGTCTCGTCGACCGCAGTGGCTCGACGTGTGTCTGCTTGTGAATACAGTGAAAATAACTTCCTCTGCTCAGAAATGCAGTGAAAGTAACTTTAATGCTTTACAAGCACACGCGTCTTGTATACATGCTTCACAGTACAACATGAAATATTGCCTTAATAATGCGTGGTACAAGCGTACATTGCAATCGGGCGTAAGAACATGTTATCAAAATAGCTTCATAGCTTAAAGTGAGTCACCCACTACAAAAAGGCATTATTCACGTTACTGCGCCTATTCCTTTAAGGTCACATATACTGGGTGCATCAATAGAAATTGAATGCACCAAGGGTTTGAAGTACGCAGTAGGATATCGCTAACGCGTTCAACTTTTAAAGACGAAGCTTAAGCGTTCTCTATAGTTTTTTGTAGGAAATCACAATATATGCACATTAATCGCCGTGTGATTGGTGACAGTGAGAGATTGAACTATATAGGGAAATAGAAGAGGACTCATCGAGCATTCTCAGCATACGGGTCGACATAAGAATGACTGGCTGCTGGTGTTCCTGCAATTCTTTGCGGCACAACGTTCACATTTAGACACTGTTACTATTTTTTTACATAGTTGGCAAGGAAGAGACCATATACACTGAACCAATGGTAAAATAAGCATGCTTGCGGCCTAAAGTTTCTTTATCTAGCTTCTGAACAAAACATTTTACTACACATGATCCCTTTGGTGAAGGCAGCGCCGTGTTTAACGAGATGTAGGATGGGGGGCTGGGGGGGGGGGGGGGGGGGGGGTTCAATAAAAATTCTGAATTTCAAACCTTGTATCGGAATGCCTGTGAACAGCAAAAAAACCTATGACGCGTAATTGAAGTAGTTCGTTGAATTTGGTTATGGAGGAATGTAGCATGACCGACTGTGCAATAAATACATCATATATTGCACTGTACTTGCACGAACTGCTGCGAAATGCTCTATTTGTTATAATACTTCCACGTGCTTTGAATCAAGGTTAAGAACATTGGGGTCAAATTATACAGGTTTCACGCATTTATATGCAGTCGATCATAATGTGTAGCGTGGTGGACTAAAATGGTATGTGCGGCAATGGAATTCCGCGTGCTCGCGCTTTCGATCTGTGCACGTGTGTGCCTTCATTAGACAGCAGTTTCAAAATGCAACAGTTCGTAAATCCCTCGTAAGCTAAGCTGGAACGCTTGCTTACGCATTTTGCATTGGTTGAGTCTCTTCAATCATGCGGCTGCCGTATAAGCATGTCTACCTCTGCCCCTGCGTCGCTAATGAGAAGAAATTAGTTGAAGCACGGCCGCTCGATGATTTTTTTTTTGTGGAGGGGCCGTGGCCCATGGCTAAACCTCGCAGGATTATTCTCTGTACATTTATTGACGTATCTCATCATTTATTGCACATGATGTTAATTTAGTACTTCGCATTGCCGCAGCACTCTGCCCTTGACTGGTACATTCGATCGCTCGAAATCTCGGGCTCTCAGAAGTTGGCGAAGTTGGGTACTATACAGTTGAAACCGTGCGTGAAAATTGATCCATTTCGTTTGTTTGGACACAGCCTGTGCGAGATAGAGAGGAGAACTGAAAAAAAGAAAGAGTATTCGAGTTATCGATCCATTGGTGTACGAAAAGTTTTGGAGAGTTCTGATTCGGGAGCCAGACCAGCGTGCCAAATCCATCACTGACGGGTGGTATACAGCGCTTTGGGAATTGCTCTGCGCTGAAGCACATGTTTAGGTTCTAATTCTGAATGATCGTTGTTGAGCGCGCAGGGCTGGGGTATTTGGAGTTTAAGTTTGGTTCAGTGTTTAACTCTGATCGATTGGGGAGAGTTTGCGTGTACTCATAGGTGGGCTTACTAGAAAGTTCACTTCGGTTTTGAACACTGAAGTGCTGGCAGCGATAAAGCAAGTACCTAGTAATGCTGTCGCCGAAACAGTTTTAGCTCATTGCGGTTCAATGATTGCTGTGTAGAATGGTACAGCCTTAAGAAAGTGCATTTGATTGCTGGAACGAACTGAAGTCTCAAGTATTGCTATGACTAAAGTTAGGCAGAGCCAAACGAACGAATCTAAGAGACGTTAAAGCAAGGGAAAGCACAGGGTTCATTGCTTGTTCTTCTTGAGTGTAGTGTTATACTATCGATATAATTTCAAAGGAATAAAGTGCGTAAACAACCTTTTTATCGGCGGGACCCGGGCCTACAACTTTCGCACATTTGATTGCAACTAATGTTCCTATCATTTGTTATTGCAGTAGTTGTCATGTGGACATGTTAAATATCAAGTACCTGTTCCGATATAAATTTAAATAGCGGATTTAAGTAGTTTTGCAGTAGTGTAGGGTATTCCTAAAAATGTATCTGTTTATAGCCGTAGCCGTTTGGAGCCAAGGGTACAGGAAATTCAAAGCGAAATTTCTATAAAGACCTTCCACTCAACAAAAGAAATTGCACCCTTTTATTTTTTCAGAGTGAAGGGTAGCGAACCAGACGTGCGTCTGGCTAAATTAACACTAAAATACAACAATGAATCTGTTTAGAATTATAATCTTGACTCTGAGAACTCAAAACCGACAAATTTTCACGCCGAAAATACCACGCGTGACTTCACGGATTCCCGGGCCCTTTTTTAGTATATCGGGGAAAATGGCGCAAGTATAGGTTTCCTGGAACTAAGTGCGTTAAGTCTATGGGGTTCTCGAGTTGCAATGTACTTGATCTTTAGTGATTATAAAATGTATGACGTAACGAGGTTTGGTTCAGGAATATTAAGGTGGCGTCTCCACCCGCATTTTTTTATTGATCTGATATATAAGGAGATGTTGGCACACAAGTATGGCTCCGGTTACTTCTTAGTCCTCGAGTGAAAGTTGAACACGTTCCTAAAAAAAACATACGAAACAGTGCATGGAAAGTAGAACACTCGAGCACACATATGCAAAAACACATATGCAGATATCACAACACAATCATAAGGAAATGTTCAAAAGTCAACGAATGAAGTGTCTGATAATGTCCATCGCTAATATTCTGTCCAACCAGCACAAAACATTCGTTCTTGCTGCAAGCATGGTGATCTTGGTATTGAAAAAGAGAAATTTAGGAATAAGGGAAAAATTGTTTTTCTCATTCCTGTGCTGCCTGCTTTTCCTTGCCACCTCATAGTGTAGCTGATGTATGCGTGCGCGCACTTTCACGCGGCTTTTACCCGCACGGGACAGTGTGTGCAGTGACTCATTGCGCTATTGTGCTCATTGTGCATTGTGACCTCTCATCATACCTCCTTTTTCCTTTTCCCCCTTACGCTCGTGAGTATTATGAGGTTAGAAACCCGATTTTCAGGCCAACCTCTTTCTTCTCATTAAAGAGACCGACAACTCTTTGTTTTTTTTTCGACCCAAGTTTTTTTTTTTTCCAGCGCAACAGAAACTTTACCCTTCGTAGTGTCCGTAGCTGCAGTAGTTCATCCCAAAAGCAAGTAGTCATGTTATAAGCAGTGTTTTTCGATCTGAAAGGCTTTGAACACGGATGAGACCTTTCATGCATCAGCTCTGAGAATTGATAGCAATGCCGGTAGCCTTTCTGGCGACTTGCGCATGCTGTCGTTGTTCCGATTTCGCGGAAGTTTCTGTAACTATATGCCTAACCACGCTTAATCTGGGCTTTGCAACAATTTCGAAAATAACTAGTGGTTACAACGAGACTGTGGCTTTATGCAGCTTCTCTGTATTTGTAGCGCGTTGCTTGTGCCTGCGCCCAAGGTTGTGTCGCCTGTGTCGTGGATGACTTGTCCCGTCGTCGTTACTCTCGAGACACGAGCCAAGCCAAGTCACCGAAAACGTCACTGCGCACATGCGCGGCTGTGCCAACTACTAGTATAATTTTAATTTCTTAGACAAATTGTAAACAGAAAAACCAGGTCGCTCCAAAATATTAGCGACCCGGAAACTACGTGCACGATTTTATGAGCAAACGGAAAAGTTGCTCAAGACACGCTGATGAGCATGGAGTAGTTACCTCATGTAAAGGCAGCGCCACTTTAACGCGCGCTACTAACGCAGACCTATATGTAGATTTTTTATGTAGTAATATCCTTTAATATAAAAAGTAAACGATATTACAATATTAACAGGAAAACTACTAGCCGCGTACACAAGTTTACGGTCACATGACAGGGCACATAGCAAAGTTGCAGTTTCTGACACCAGATGGTGCCACAAGCTATTTTTTTGCAATTTTCAATTAAGAAATAAAAATATAACTAATTTTCACGAGAAAGAAAAGATTGATTGGAGTGGCTATGAGGGACGACCTTTCCATACATGCAGTCATTTCATTTCATTCTCTGGGCAGTTGTCGGTGTTGTTAAACACCTCTTTTTCTTCTCCACCACTCAATTTTCTATCGCATCTCTCAATCACTCTGACAAACTCATGCACCATAATGTATTGTTTCTGTTTCAGGGTTAACATCCCAATGGGCAACCTGGTCGAGTTCTCACACGCCTTTGGATGCCCCGAAGGAACGCCCATGAACTTGACTCACAAGTGCATACTGTGGTGATCCGCCTCGGTCGCTCATGATCCGTCGCTGCATTTCGGGGATCGGGACGGCTTTTACATTCAGGACTACGCGGATCCACTCGAACGCGCGAGGAAGAAAAAAAAAAAAACCGAGCCGTCACACGAAGCGATAGGGGAAGAAGAGCGTGGCAAGGAAATCCCCGCCCGCTTACTCTTCAAACCATCTTCTTCTTCTCCAGCAAGTGTGGACCTTCCTCCCGTAGCTTCGTACCACAATCGAACGCATTAACTCTCTTGTACATACGCGTTTTATTTTGCTTTCATTCAACGATGCTTCATGTCGAAATCGCGTGAATAGCGAAGCTACGCTGGAAGGACGACATCGGAGGAGAAGACTGGCACCGAGAAAACAAAGAAACGTCATCGTCGCGCGAATGATCTTTTATCTCTCAATGACGTTCTTTTGTAAAAAAGAAAAGATGAATGTACAGAATATCTGCCTTCTGTATCCTTGGTTTCTTTTTACATTGTGTTTGTTTGGACACTGTTCCTTTCCAGGAGCTTTTCGAGCCGTTCAGGCTCGAAATTACATAATTCATGAGCAGTTCCAAGGAAGTATATGCAGAAAATACATCATCATAATTTACTGATTCTTAAAGGCTCTTTAAGGGTATTGTTCAAGGGGAGACAAAAGCACCAGTAATACCGTGGTGATTATTACGCATGGAAAAAGGAGGGTTTGAAAAATACTTAGTTCACTTAAAACGGAGAAACGTAAAAGCAGTGCAACTGGTAGATCACTCTTTTGTAACATCACTTATGGCATTTTGTTCTAAGCGGTATACATTACACAACAGTGCAGTGGTGGCAAATTAAGGGTGAACTCTAACAGTTAGTGGACTTCCAATTAAGGTTATTGACAGAAACCTCTCTTAGGCTTTTATGAACTGCATTTTAATTACGTTATTAACTCTCCTAATGTACCTACTATCGCACTCGGTCAACCTCGCACCTAATTTTACACAGTAACTACCGAGTTCCGTATTTACTGCACTTGAGAGATCGCAGGCTATCAAACAAATGACGCGCGCATGAATATTCAAATGACACTTGCCGGTTTCTTTTCATCCCCAGTTCAATTCATTTCTTAATCAATCGGCGGACGAGTATTCTGACGAGTGTAACTTGGATGTCTGCAATCTGCAGAATAACCTTCGTAATGATTCGGCGATTCACACCCTTAAATCTTCCCGACATTGACGGCACTGGCGTCCCAATTTAGGTGACATCTTATTCAGTACGTTCTGAAAGGTTTGTGTTTATGCCCTGATTAGTCGCAGTCAGCCTGATTTTTATTAATGTTTTGTTCGTGCTCTCTGTAGCTCGAGTAGGTTTCCTAAATCCCCCCCCCCCCCCCCCAATGACAACTGTGGGTTCTCAAGGAAGCCACTCTCAAAGCAAGCGATGAGAGTCACGCCGACGTGCCACGAAAATGTGAACATTTTAGAACAGCTTTTACGCACGACAAACTCTCAAGTCTAACCTTGCAACCGCAAACACGCTAAACAAACCAATCAAATGACAACACTACAACGCACCCAAACAACCCAACGTACACAATGTACCGCGAATGCGTCTTCGTAAACGTTTGACCTGTCACAGGATTCTCCGTATCGCTCCCGTGGACCTCCTCTCCCAAAGAGTTGACCGTTCAAGGCCACGCCGCACTCGGAAGATAATACACCAGGCACTGCGCCGTGCTCCCGACCGGGTTGCAGAAGTTAGGTGCCTTTTCTCATCTTGTAACCACTACCACCCTAATACACTCCCCTCCTCAAGGCACTGCGTAGCGTAGCTCCCGTAATCCATTCAAGAAAGCTTAAGTGCCATAAATCTGTCAGGCTGACCTTGAACAACGCTCCTTGAAACCGCGCGTTGTGTGCATCGTCTATTTGCCGACCAAGTCCGCAAGCCTATCGTTAGTGGTAAAGAAATTTTGTCTGTCGTCTAGATGTCTATTTTATGGTGGAAGTTTCTGCTGAATTGTTCGACGCTTTTCTTGAAGCCAGCGAATGAACATTCCATCCATGCGAATCGGGAACCTCGTCGTCTGCAATGCCATTTCGAGAAATTAAGGAAGAGAAAAATAAATGGTAATGATTTGTAGCCATGCGGGAAACTCAAACACCAGGGGGAAGTTGCTGTCTTCGGTGCTCGGTTATTATTGCGTCGTAGAAGATCGTTTACTGCGCCGCAGAGGAATGTTTCCTTACCACCTTCGATCGCTGTGAATCGGGTAAACGATCAGTCATCGAAGGCGCCAACGCTGTCTTTCTTTAGTTTATCCTAAATTATGCAGGTCTTATGGAACACTTCAGTTGATTGCGTATACATTGACAATGCATGCACCACATTTCTTCTTTGAAACAATTGAAACAATCTACGATGTTGAAGATATGAACGGCAACGCGCGCACAGAGAAAAATGCGCGCTTATCTAAGTAATTATTGATGCCTCTGCACGGTATTCGATAAATTAAGGTCTCTGAACAGCTCCTTCGAAACATTAGAGTATTCCTAAAACAAAGAGCCCGTCGCTTTTCGGAAACTAATGGTTCTGGAATCGAAACGGCATTGCTTACGAGGACGATGTTTGAATTGATGCGCAAGCTAAAACAATAATTTTTTTTCTCCTTCGTGTATGCGTGGGTACGCTGTGTGCAGTATTATGCTAGTGAATATGGGCATTGTTTGCTCGCGGAGTTGTAAAAAACTCGGGAGATCGTTTGAAGGTTGCAACGAGGCTGCAGTGATTTCTTCATTTTGGTGAGTCATACCAATTTGTGTGAATATGCATAGGACATTCTTAAGAGTCATAACCGCGAGATGAGGTCACAGTCGAGCAGCCTCGTACATCAATCTTCGTTAAATGGAGATCTTTGGAAGCCCAAATTGCGTTGAGAGATACGGGACAACGCTCCCAACTTGCAGTCTTTTATTTATTCAATGATATAGTTTGCGTGAAAGGCATATTACAAAGCCCGAATAGATGCGTGAACGAAGGCTGCATCTAAACTGGAACACCCATGGAATTTTACTTTTTTTATGTTATTGTCTAAGCGAAGTGATGAGAAAATCGGGGAAGAACTAATGTTTCGAGAGCATCGTGGGCTAGGCGATAAAGATACCACAGAGGAAAACATCGGGAACTGTTAAGGAAAAAAGCCTAAAATTTCGCTCGAGTCGGAATGAATCAAAACAGTCAGCGAACCTCATTGGCAATGCAGAACGATGACAACATTACGTAGCATGAAGTAATTGTTGGTGTCATCACGTTTTACATGTGAGAAACTAAAAATAATAATAATTATGTAGAGAGCTCGCGAAAGGCAGGGTCACAGCGAAGCTGTTGATCTAGTGATCTGTCCACTTCTTTTTTTTATTTTCTTCTTTCTTCCTCTTTGTTACTGTATAGCTTTTTGTCTCTACATTTTGTTTTTCTCTCTATCTACTTCTTCCTCTTTCTAACTTACTGTACCTTTCTTCCCTTTCTCTCTATTTGTCTACTTCTCACTTCCGCGGCTTTCTTCCCATCCTCTATTTTACTCTCCACCATCCTGCTTTCCCTTCTCCTCATATTTCTCTTCCTCGCCTTCAATTCCCTTTCCCAGCCCCTTACTATCAATGCTATGATACGCTCTATTGTCGTGCCTGGGTAGCTGTGGGGTTGCGACGCTCGCGCTGAGATGGTGCATATACGTAGGTTCCAATACCATCACGCGAAGAAGATATTTTTCGCCAAGAATTTCTCTCGTTTTACTCTCTCTCTCTCCCTCTGTACTTGTTTTCTTTCCCATCAGAGTTATAGCATCCCACGCCGGGCAAATTGACGCACGTGTTCCGGGAGCGAAACGGAAGAGGACGAAGAGAAAGCGTGCCGGTTCAGGATAATTACAGTTTCATGTCGACGACCAGCGACACTATGAAAGCGTAACATCACCTCTGCAGAAATACTCCTTCATTCTCTACAAAATGGTTTTTGAGACCGGACGTAGCACCAAGGAATGCTGATTTTGATTTGTTTAAACTCACTCGTCGTCATTCTGCATTTTTTTTTTTGCGCGTGTGTGAGAGAAAGTCGCGCCCTTTGCGTGCGCCTAACAACCTGAATGGCGTCTGTATGTTCAGGTGAGCGTCCGTCTCCTCCTCGCGTCTCCGTTTACTCTGCTTAGAAACTTGCAACGAACTTTACCAACTAATGGCTTTCTGAATCACATAAAAGCAGATTAGTCATACAACGATGGTGACGTGCAGTCATACAGAACTTCCCACAGAGGTACGTAATGCGTGTCTAAACGTTATACTTCGCGTATAAGTACGTGTGCAGGGGGACCTATTTCAAAGCTTTCCTTTCGTGACGCAAGAAAAGTCCGTGAATGCAGTGTCTAGAACAAATTGTGAGTGAGTTAAAAACAATATGCCTTGTACAAAGAAAAAGTCATAAGATGTATCTGTTCTTACGCACCCACAGTGAACTTCTTTGCACATTTGTGACAACAGTTCAGATGAGTACAGTGGCAAGTGATAGTGAAAAATCACTTTGACAGCCTTTACAAACATAAAGGCGTGGACACGATATAACTTGTGCCACTTCGACACTATCATAGCCGAGTTTTTTTTTAATAAAATATAACAAGTTTCCCCCGGTACATCTATATCAGTTGAGAATAAATGCTCGAATATTAGGATAAATTGCAAGAGTGTAATATGCTGGGCCAGTTGGTTCGGACCCATGGTAGCAGCTTGTTTTCGTCATTTCTTCATGCGCACCCGTTTTGTTTGTTCGTGTTGCTTGCTAAGGCATACTTAAAGGAGTCGTGAAACGGTCGCTTTACAACGACAATGTGGCACCATCGGCAGGCACATGCGCCATCAGCCCGAGTGCACCTGCATAGAAGCTTTGCCTTTCGAGGAACGCGGAACTCTATGGCATATCGAGCACGCGCAAGAGGTAATCCGCGTCCTACAAGGACGCTGCTTAATATGACGTCATAGTTCAAGTTAGCGCTGATTGCGTATGACAAAGACGCTGACGAGTGTCCCAGCCGCACGCACGCAAGTACCGAAAGTTCCGCGTTCCTCGATAGGCGAAGAATTACTTATGATGACGTCACCTAGTTATTGCGTGTGGACGCCGATGGCTTCGCATTGTCGCTTTAGAGCGAGCGTTTCACGGCCCCTTTAACAAAAACCCAGAGCTGGTAGGACTGAATTCGGGCATGTTGCGTTGTGTATAAAGGCAACATAACTCTGACAATTGTCAACAGTATACCGTTTACTCTTCGTTGCGCAAGAGAAACAGAAAGTTAAACTATCGCGCACATACTGAAAGATCACGAGTAAACTTTGGCACGAGCCGCAATAGTGAAATTCGACAATCTTAGTTTAGTACATTCTATAGCTTCCCACGAGCGCAGTGTAGGTGCGTTCTGGTGCCATCTTGTTTTTT